GAGGGGGGGGGAGCAGGCGATTTCTGCTAGGAAATTCAACAAATCTGGAAGATTTATTTTTTCAAGAAAAAGTTTACTATTGAATTGCTAAATGGATAGGCGCACGGTATGGTAGAATATGTTAGGTTTTCTGGGATTTTTTCTGAAACGATACGCATCTAAGGTATGAGATCTATTAAAAAAGGCGCAAGGCCATCAACAGGCACAAATCAACGTTTTTGCTATAAATCAAGCAACAATGGTCTGGACGACCTGTAATAAATACTTGTAAGTGATGTTATCATAACTAAATTAATGTCATTGCTGAATTTATAAAATAAGTTTCCATATGTGAAATAAAAAATAATCGAAAATAATGAATTTGGGACGGAGGGGGGGGGGAGGGGACGAAGGGGGGGGGAGCAATATGTATATAAGACATGATTAGAGATGTTTCGCGACTTTAAGTCATTTTACTCCAAATGTCCCCATTTTTCAGTCTCCAGGGGTATATCATCCAGTTTCTTACTAAGTTAATGAGTTAATTTTTCAAATACAAGAATTCGTGTGAAGTTGTTTCACTTTATAGAATTATTACTCCCCCCCCTCCGTCCCCTCCCCCCTCCGTCCCATTTTAATTATTTTCGATTATTTTTTATTTTACGTATGGAAACTTATTTTATAAATTCAGCAATGACATTAATTTAGTTATGATAACATCACTTACAAGTATTTATTACAGGTCGTGTAATCCATTGTTGCTTGATTTATAGCAAAAACTTTGACTTTTGCACGTTGGTTGCGTTGCGCCTTTTTTAATAGATCTTATATCTTAAAAGAGTATCGGTTGAAAAATAATCCTAGAATACCTAACATGTTTTATCATACCGTGCGCTTATTCAATTTGCAATTCAATCGTAAACTCTGTCTTGAAAAAATAATTTTACCAGATTTGTTGAATTTTCTAGCGGAAATTGCCTGCTCCCCCCCTCCGTCCCATTTTCACGATCACCGGGTGTGACACTGACAAAAATGGTTAAGGCAATGTGCCGTCCCACTGGCACGCATTTCGGTACAACGCGCATCGGTAGGCCTATGTTGGTTTTCGGCACAATGCGCGTCGGTATAATGGGTTTCGGTATAATACGCGTCGGTATAATGAGGAGATCCCATTCATCATGTTTAGGGTCATTCTGACCATGTACATTCTGATCCTGGTCATGTAAATGATATGTGGAAATAGTTAAATTAACTGGAGGTCTAAAACATGTCTAAAAATGCAGAATTTTTTTGTCATTTCCTGTTTTGTCATTTCCTGTTAAGTATCATGGCACCTTAAAGTAGATTGTAAATATTGTATTGTTTTTCTGATTCAGGCCTCGTAAAACTCAAAATGGCCACCTAATGTGGGATTTCGCAATAATTTTCTGATCTCTTAGAGAAGCATGACTATATTATACTCAAATTGAAGGAACTTTAGAGTAGATCACTATTATGGTATTGTTTTTTAAATTTGTGCCTCAGAAAATTCAAAATGGCTGCCTAGAGCAGGAATTCGCCATTACTTAGAGATATCTTTAAAGTATGGTTACATGATATAGACAGGTTCCAATTCAAATAATTCAAGTTTTTGAGGCATTTTTTAGAAAAAGCAACAGACCTATTTTTACTAGATCAGTTTTTCATGCTGATAAAGATATTAAAAGATGACAGCTCAACGGGGTGGTCACGACACTAAATTTTGGCATTTTTACCCCCCTAGGAAAATATTCTAGGGGGTACTATGAAACTAGTTCATAACTCAAAGGATATGTGAGCTATTGTTCTGAGTTGTACACCATACATTGCTAGTACAAATATGAATACTATCCTAAAGTTATGGGTTGATACCCTTATTGGTCTCAGAAAAATATAAAAAACAGGAAAAAGATACGCAATTTTTGTCTTGCCAATTTTATATTTGTAGCTTCAAGCACAATATGAGAGCTTTAACAGCTCAAAGTAGTATTTTAAAAACATTTCCAAGCTATGTGTGGTATTGTAATACATCTATTTTAGTTATGAAGTACTATTTTGTAATTTTAATATGACTTTATAGTGCCCTACCCCTGGAAAATTGAAGAAAGTGAATGTGGTGAATTTTATCATTTTGCAGCATTAAGTTAGAAACATGTATTGATAGACACCAAATCAATAAATTCATACCATCATCAAATGTTAGGTGACATTCTAATTCATTTATTACTAGAATATAGGATAATAAGATATTTTATATGTAAGTTTTCAATTAAGTACATGTATCATAATGAAATCTAGTGTAATCACATACTAGAGAGGTTGGCATACAGTCTGGACATTGACATAAAGTCTAAACATTATAATCATCAATTGATCTCATTTGAGCAACTAGACTATGGTGGTCATCATGCACAAGTAATGTACAGTAGAACCTGCTAAGTGGAACACCTCTGTAAGTGGAACACCTCCCAAGTGGAACGCCTTTTCAAAGTCCCGTTTTAAAAACCCATTGACTTAATGTTAATTGAACCTGGAACACCTCCAAACTTGAACAGTGAACACCCCATATTGAAAAATTAACCTGCTAAGTGGAACAGTCAATTTCCATAGATTTCAATATTGATATATGTAAACAGAATTAATCTCCCTCAATGATATCTGGGTATGAAAACAGGTAATACTGTGATAATTGGCAAATTAGGATTTTAATGGATTAACCTCCTGTAGAGGTCAACATGTGATGCAACCAACAATTAATTTGATAATCAGCAAATTAGGATTTCATAAGATTTTCATTCAGAAAATTGGATTAACCTCCTGTAGAACTGGACACGTGATGCTACCACTAATTAATATCCCTTGCTGTTTGTTTCAAACTTAATAAGTAAGATTAAAAATGTCATTTAAAAACAATTGAATTATTAGCAGTAGGAACAATTCATTAAAACTTAATTGCCTAATCCTTGTACCTGAGACTGGCACAATTAGGAGGATTAAGAATGTCAGAAAACATTTTTGGCAGAATGAGGAGGATTAAGAATGTCAGATACCTTTTTGAGTAAAATAAATGGATTATTAATGGTATATACCTGCCCTGTAATGAAGGGAGAATCATATTTCCAATGATACATATAAATCCTATACTGCAATGATCTCAATATTTATTGAAGGAAGAGTAGATGGTAAATATTACATTGTGACTGTACAGATTCATATAGGGTTTGTTGGGATTTGCTACTCCGTGGAGTTGCCGATTGCTAGTTATCAAACAGTAATATTTGAGGCAACATGAGTAACTATTTTTGTTAATCAATATCAGTAATTTATTTTAAATATTAATTTTTTTACAATCAGTAGTAGACATAGTATTAAGACATATGTAAAATATTAAAACATGATGATTCCACATGAAATCCAAATCAGTAATGCACATCTTATACTGTATATATTATCAATATATATTTTAAGGGATTTGAACTTTGACAATTAAATCAGATACTGGCACCCCATATTTCAGAAACTGCAAAAACAACCTATAATTAAACCATTGATAGACTTAGATACATGCCTTTTATGGGAATATTACAGTTTCAAAAAAATTCTATTTTAAGGGTGTTCGCAAGAATATCATATATTTTTTAAAACATGTCGTGCCACTTTTGAGGCAAGAGTTTTTCAAGCTATGATGCAAACTTTCTTTTCTGTAAATACGAGACTATTGATGGTTCAAATTGCAGGGTGTAATTGTTTTTTTAATATGGGATCCTTCAAATCAGAGTTAGAGACATTAAGGACGTTATGAATATGTTTTGATAAGATATGTTGGGTTAAAAACTTTACTTGTGTGAGGTACATGTTTAAACACTGATATGTATAAAAGTTAGATTTGACTAATGATACATTTTAATGAATGCCTACACCCCTCAAAAATCCAACAATAGGAAACCCCCGCCGAACAGCATTTTGAAGTATGTTTCTATTGGATGAAAAATTGGATGAATTTGTTACAATTCATAATTTTGAACATAAACAGGGTTTGACATGTGTATCAATTACCAAAAGTGGTCTTCCTATGGAGAGGATTTGCTATATAGTTTTGAAATCCAGTTTAAGTCATATCATGTCGGAAGTTTAAGAGATTTGCCAAACGGTTGGGGGGGGGGTGTAATTCATTTTGAATGGTTTGATTCCTCATGAGTTATTGAACCAATCATTGCATTTCTGCAACTTGATAAAAACACATGGGGATCTTGAGGATTGGATTCACAGTATTTTTCACCATTAAATCACTATAACTGATACATCGTTATTAAGTTATTAAAACAATACAAAAGAAAAAATTGTTTACTTTGGTGTATAACAAATACTAAAACGTCTATGTCTATGTACAAATGGATAGTATATGTATATGAGTATAAAATCACATAATTCCGCACTGGGCACATAATTGTATATGTTGTTAACAAACAATGTACAATGTACATGTACCCAGTCCATCCCTTTCCAATATATCAAAGATGGTCAGCATTCATAAAAATATGAATCATTAATTGAAATGTTACTCATGTATAATTATTTCAAATGCCCTATATAAAATCTTAAAATATTTCTTTGTTTCTGCTTCTGAATAATTGGATTTCTCATATATTTGCATTCCAAAACCTTTGTTAACGATAGTAAAGATTTCCAATAATTTTAAATACTTAGACATTGTAAAACACATTATTTTCTAAACGTAAAGAATTTGAATAACACTTAAAAAATTCATATAAAATAAATTTCATAATTAGGCTAATGATTCATTATTTAAAAATTTCAAAGCTTCAAATTCCTCTGAAAAACATAACCATCATGATATATTACAGCAGGCCATGTGCTTGTCATAAATGCATTTTCTCTGGCAGTGTTTACTTTAAACACGAGTCTCTTTTTGGTCCCAAATTCGCTGTCCACTTAATTAATTTAGACATATTTTGCATCAAGTCCTTCATTAAAACCACTCTTTCGCTAAGGGTAAATAAATATAGATGGCTCTAATAGCAGGACTTGATGCAAGAGCAGCACCACAGCCAGAACATGACAAAGTTAAAAAAAATTCTAAAAAACTGTAGCTTTTTTGGATCAAAAATGATAAAAATCTATATACAAAATGTAAATAAAATATAACATGTGCTTTTCAAAAAATGTTTCTGTCATTTTCAGTTCTGGCTATGGGCCTTATATTAAGGCTAATGGATTTTCAAATTATAGTTATAGTTCTAAATATGGAATACATGTGTTCGCTAATTGAAAGGGCCTAGTATGAAACTGTGTGAAAGTATGAATAAATGTACTTATATACAAAATGATTTAATAAATATACTACATGAGTAATATAAACAATGTTTTGAATGCTAAATAAGTGGAAACATCTGGTTTCTAACATGATCTCCCTTCATGGATGCGCAACATTGAGTCTTTAAAAAATCCACGGATAACGATACAATGCTTATTTTGTTTATAAAATATCAGTTTCGCTTCAGTTTCTGGAAAGGAAAAAGGTTGACATATTGTAGAATCGGGATATTAGGATATCCAGATAGTTCTGAATGTCAAGAGAAATCCATTGTACAATATCAGTGCATTTTTCAATAGACTCAATTTTCTACATAAGTATACATAGGAGACAGTTTGGATATGTTAAAATAATCAACTACACATATTATACAGATATTCTAATCCTACTGATATGTGCCTGGGAAACACACGTGAAAAACTTTCATACAAGCAAAACACAATTTCATCGCTTCATTCTTAAATCTAAGATTGAAATACCAACTAAAACATTTTACATTGTAAAATTTAATATGACTAATTCTTTCATATTTACTGAATAATGAAATAATTGACCACAATTTGTTTACAAACATACAAAAAATACCATAAGGTGAAAAAGCATCAAAACAACATAATCCCTTCCAATACTTTTACACAACAATTTAAATAAAATATTAAGGAAAGGAAAACTTGTTATCAAAGGAGGTATTTAACTATCATGCATTGAGGTTGTAAGTTTTTAATTGTCAGTTAAAGTAAAATAACATGCATGTATAATGGAAAATGTACAAGAGCCCACTTTATATAATAATAGCACCATGGAGTGGACTGCTTACTACACAGTTTCAGCATAGCATCAAATTGTACATTGCAATACTTTGGAATGACTATAAAATGGTTTAAAACATATACATCCTATATTATCTATCAGAGTATAAAATAAACAAAATGAACATCTTCTAATGTACAAACTATATATAGTTATGATAATATTAGAGATCACAAAATTTATCCCAAAATGCATTGGGACTTTCCCTCCTGTGATCTGTGAACAAAAGTGTTCCTTAAATGGAGTCTGGTTACAAATGCATGATGGGACTCAACAACCTCATGTGCTGTGTGTGATCTTAATGTCTCTAAAAAGGAACATTTCCTAGACCAAAAGCTAAAACTAAAATTACATGGGGCATGGTCAATAGATCAAGATCTTTCAAAAAACAACATTTTTGATGTTGAAACAAAACAGAATGGGATTTAGCCCTTCCCATATTGTACACAATCATGTCTTGCAAGATGTCAATGTTTTGACCCAAACCCATATATTACTAACCAACTATGTATAAATACTAAGAACTTTATAACCTCTTCTGCAACCTACAACTAACAGGGTAATGTATCTAAGCAGTGCAAGTCAAAATCAACTGAAGTTCAGTGGTTCAAATCTACAACCTTAGAACTTCGAGTTCAATGGGCCAAATATACAATGTTATAACTTCCTCAGTCTAATTTTGATCTGAACTGTATAGGACTTCATTAAACTACTATTTATAAGATTGCTTTATATAAAACGACAACATATGTAAATGCCAGTATTATCAGGTGAGGTAGATATATAGAATTCACAGCTGCCCCAAGACAATTGTGAAAAATGCAATCAATTAAAGTTGAATCAGATATGATCAACGTATGTTTTACCAAAAGTTATTTTTCCATATTCTCCTTTTTTCAAATCTATGAACTGATAAACAAGCACAATCTAAACGTTAGTATATCACATCCTGGATCTGGAATTATTTAATTGGCCATTGTTTTTTGTACTGTTATCTGATTGGTCAATGTTTTTGTGCTTTTATTTGATTGGACAATTTGTTGGTGATGTCATCTGACTGGACATGGTGTTTTGTTATCTGATTGGACAGGAGCTGAGATGCACATCCACCAGTTGGTACATATTATACCAATCAGCCTCCTCTCCATTCACCTCCACATTCTTCATACAGCCCTCAAAGTATTCATTCGACTCAGTTGCCCCCTGAGGCTCAGAGAATACTGCAAAGTTACAAAAATAAATATTGTGTTAATGTGTATGAGGATATACAATGTAGAAGAGGTTTCGCTGGACTTCAATGAAACTGGAAAAGCAACAACAACAGGGCATAAAGGTGGTAGGGCATAAACACACCAAAGTATGTATTAATTTGACTAAGGAGAGAATACTGCAAAACGACATTAGTCACAGGGTATAAACACATCAAAGTATTCACTGGACTTCAGAGAGAATACTTCAAAGCAAAAATACTCATTGTGTCAGGGCCCTAACTTAACAATATAACACAAAAATAATTTCATCTGAGATGGGGTCAATCTTAATTCACAGACATATTGTTAATAAAAAAGTTTTGGTTAATATGAGCTATACCTGGGTAGCCTCCGAAAAACAGGAGGTCAGAAGTGTCCAATGAAGGAACATCTCCATTTGTATCCATGGTAACAACTGATTTGCCGTCATCAACTTTGAGCACTAGTCGATCCCCACTGAATTGAGCTATCACTTGGTGCCAACGGCTGTCACACAAAGCATATGGTGTCGTCATGTTTGACGTGGCACTGAACTTGCCATTCTTGTTTGTCATGCTGAACATTATCTGCAAATCAATAAAACAAAGGTGTGAACGATGAAATGTATGCATGCTATGCACTAATTCAGGAAATTAAACTGATTTGTCATTTTTAGCTTGTAATGTCTAAATTCATGGATTTCCTTCATGCTGAGTAGAATGACCTAGCTGGACAAAAAGGCTGAACCTGTTACATGTAGGGGCACACCCTGAAGTTGTGCCTTCAGATGAGAATGTAGCTTATTCATAAATAAAAATACATGAATGACCATTTGCAAGTCCAAATACAATATCCACAATACCACAGTGATATAACATGGCAGAGAATAATTTGATATAACCATCACAATCTATGATTAAAACACAGGCCAGGTACATTAACATATATTCTTCATTAACATATATTTTGTGTAAATATTCATAAAGGATTCTCGCTTGAACTTTTTATCTACTTCAATCATTAACATTAGTTTCCATCTGCTTTTTCATTTAAATTCACTGATTTTATTCTTTCACATTAATGCCCTTTAGTTTGAATTCACTAACCTTTCCATTGTGTAGACTTAGAGCCAGTGCAGGAGTTCCACTGGGGGAGGATATAGACAGTAGAATTCCATTCTGTTTGTGTGTACGGAATTCAAGCTTGATCATGAAGTCTGTACCAACATTATAGTTCTCTCCTGCAAAGAGAAAATATGAGTTAAAAAAGCCACATTTGATATATTTAAATACAATTACAGCATTTAAATGTATTTTAATTCGCATTTGATATTGACAAATGTGATTCAGAACATATTCACCACAACTAGAATGCATTATTTTTTTTATAAAAATTTTTTGCTATTTTAAATCAAGCAGCCATCTTGAAAATTTGTTCTCCACTTCTCGAGTCTTATTTCTCTCAGACATCAACATACAAAATTTGATACAAAACTGTTGACTGGTATTTGATTTATCAAAGATTACATTTTTATGAATAATAGTGGCACTTTCAGCAGACATCTTGAACTTTTCTTCTTAGCAGCTAGAGCTCATTTGTCTCTAAGGCACTAGCATATAAAATTTAACTAAATCCATCAACTGGTATTTGAGTTATTGCATGGATGGATGAATGAATGGATGGACAGACAGATAAATGGATGAATGGATGGACAGCTTTTCTATAACCCTAAAATCAGCTAAACAAGGTAGGCAGAGTATAATGAATACACTTTTGACCAGAGCCTCAATTAAAAAATTTGCCACTTCAATTTAATTGATAGGAGACTAAACAAGGTCATTATTTAGAGCTAGAAAATGATCATATACATACTATATATAGCATAGGCATCTCCATTGAAATAGACTCCTTTCTCTGTGGTCTCATAACAAGATCCTATACCCATGATTGACTTAGAATTGGCTAGATCTATCTTTTCGTCATTCAGCACAAACTTGCGCATACAGCCCTTGAAGCTCTCAGGTTCCTGTAAAAAAGAAGAATAAAAAAATCAGTAATGCCTCAGTTTAAAAAGTCAATTCTGATTGGTCAAGAATGAACAATAGTGTTGAATGTTGACTGTGTAATCCAAACATATTCAAATCCTTGAACATGGAAATTATCTTAACTGTCGTCCTCTCATACAAATAATTGTATTTGAGTTATTAATTGTAGTTTAGGAGGGAGGGGAGGTAATCAAGTCAATCAAAATGTGAGTTAATTTTCATTTTAATGCCCAGAAGTTTTAGCTAAGAGTTACATGGTATTTACACCTAGTTTGATAAGATTTGATTCTACAAAAAATTCACAATTTAACAATGATATGGAGTTAGGTTGGCTACTAAAAATGGATTTACATCGTCCCTTCATTCTATAATGGTTTTGATTAAAGATTGAACATAAATTGTCTACATTCAAAGCATGAAAGCTCCATCTCTGAGCATAACACATCCCCCTGCTGCTTATATGTTTGAACTTACCAAACCAGATCTAAGCTCATAAATCTCTGGAAGACCTCCCACATACATGGGCGCTTGAACATCTATCTTCCTAGCAATTTTGTCTTGCTTTTCTGCACCATTATCAACTTTTAGTGTCACTATTGTGCGATTTTTCTTCATTACAAGCTGGAATATACAAAGGAACATGTTTTTATGGCGTTATGGTAATTAGCTTGTTTATAACTATTCAATACATGTATTAGTGTATAAGTGACCACTATTTCAAAATCCCATGCTTTTACTTCAGCAAATGTTTTAATCCATCTGATTTTCCAAAAAAAAGATTCTGTTCCCGAAATAGGGGTTTGTTAATTTAAACATTTTAAAATGTCATGGGACAATTTGAAAATTACCTGGTGCCATTTTCCATCATCCATGCCTTTCTGACTCGATATAGAGTTAGTCCTGCCTTCCTTGTCACTAAATAACAGAACTATCTGGCCATCAACAATTTGAACAGCAACAAACTCAGACTGCTCATCATTGGTGACGTAAAATATCAGACCATTCTTGTAGTATGTACGGAACTCAACAGTCACATTGAAACTGAAAGAAACAAGAAAATTGAAAATACTGTAAAAAACACAAGTATGTAAAATAGATAGAACAAATCTGAAAAATATCTAAGATTGAAATAAAATCAATGATTGTAATTTGTGAATAGGTTATAGTCTTCTCTTACTGATATTGAAATGAATACATATATTGGAAAATTTCTACATGTTTTTACTGAGGTGTTCCAAGTAGAAAGTCTGACATAATACCAAGACAGGATACAGTTGATTTACATCATTTTATTTCACCCCTAAGGGAAAAGAAAACCCTTGAGGAAAATGAAATCATGCGTATACCATGCACATTTAGCCAATATGGCAACTAACCACATAGTATAAAAACTACATAAGTGCTACCATGGCAAATACAAATACGTCACTGACATTACTTAAGGTAGGTAAAGAAGAATGTATAATTGTGAATAGCTAGGCTGTATACTAATGTCATGCACACAGTTGTCCCACCTTAAGTCCCACTGCAAAAAAGTTAAAATATTTTGCCTGTTCAAGTTCAAACACTACTAAGTGTAATATGCATACACAGACATATATTTTTTAGAATACGTTCTACATATTAGGGGAGCCTGTGGCAATAAGGGCTAAAGGGCCAGACACAGGTGCTGGACCATTGTCTAGCCAGTACACATTGCTAGACATGTAAAAAGCATGTGCACTCCAAAATGCATATAATATTATAACCAGTACACATTGCTAAGTATGTAAAAAGCATGTGCACTTCATAAATGCATGGAGTATGTATAGTGTTAGTATACATCAATTTAAGTTTGTAACCAGTACACAGTACTAAACATGTAAAAAGCATGTGCACTTCAAAAATGCATAGAATAATATGTATGCAATTTAAGTTTATAACCAGTACACAGTACTAATAACCATATTAGAAGCATGTGCCTTCAAAAATGCATGGAATATAAGCAATGTAATTTAGTAATAACCAGTAATCTGTACAGAACCTGTAAGAACCATGCATGGAACAAGTATTCAGTACTACCCCATACAATTACAGAACACTGCAAATTGTTGCATATCAGAAGTCTTGCACCTAGCCCCAATTTCCTTCCATCCTTGGTCCAAAGACAGAGGTAGAAGGGGGAGGGATACTGGGGCTATATACAATACTATTCATGTCAAATTAAAGTGCCATTACAATGATTGCATGCGCTAACATGAGAAATCATTGGGCATTTACAGCATACTTTACCTTGATTGAAGAGTTTCTCTAAATTAAATAACACATAAGATGTGTAATGTACTGTATGTTAAACAAACTGTATGATGGAAATAAAATAATTAAAGGTCAGGTTAGATGAATCATTCTAGGCCAAACTAAATGACATATAAAGGAAATAAAATAAATGATACAAGGCCAGTTTAAATGAATCATTCTAAGAAGTAAGAAGTCCAAGGCCAGGTTAAATGAATCATAAAACGTTTTGTTCAATTAAATTCCCCAGTGACACTTTTGTAAATAAAAAATAAATAAATAAAAAAGGTTTGGCATTCCTCCCACCCGTTCTACACTCTTCCTCATCCTAATCTCAGGATATAAATGAGCTTTGTTTCATTGATTTGATAATCATGAATAATTATTGATAAAGGTTTCATTTATTTATCCTGGCCTAAAAGAATAACATTAAGTAATGTAGGATAGCAGACCTAAGTTCAATTTGATGCAGCATTGTGGACTTGCCTCATTTTGATATTTAAGATTTCTTTAATAACCATGACAATATCATGACATCATGTTTCATTTCGATCAAATTCTACTCACACACAGATGTGTGACGTACACACAGATGTGTGGCGTACACACAGATGTGTGGCGTAATTGATACCAAGTAGAAATGGGGATAAAGGTATGCAATACTTCAGTTGTCACTATGACATAAAATATAGAGCCTCCCAAGGTCAGACTATATTTGGAGAACTCAACATATATCTGTGTCATTACTTGAGAATAGGCTTGTAAATTCAGGAAAAACATTTTGTTAGTCTAAAACTTACTCTTTTCTGACTTTGGATCTGCGGACATTAATCTGTGCATGGCTGTTCTTTAGACCTAAGGCAACTGCAATGGGATCCACAGTATAGATGCCATCTTCAACTGGCACAATACATGACCTTGGGGGCTAGAAGTGAAAGATGTACTGTAAGTTAAATTTGCAACACATATGTAAAACAAATGTAATGTGCAATAGAGCATCTAGGTTTAAAAATACATGTATACTAGATGTAATGTAGTATCTCTGTACTTTTTATGGGAAGTAACACTTTGTTATATCTTAGACAAATCTCTGACTTATTCCTTGTTAAATGTTGGTCCTCCTTATCCTTGTAACTCATCTTCCTAGAATCCTTAATGTGTCACACACAGGCAGGTCTTGACTCAAGACAGTTAATTAAAATAACAATTAAGTTATCAATAATTTGAATTTTTTTAATATTTTTTTTCAAATACACCAATCTCGTTCTTATATTATACATGGTATATTTAGTTCTTCTATATTACCTCAGTTGCTGGTTGTTCTGTTGTCCTGTCTATGATTGGTAATATAGAGGGTGCAGTGGTCACAGTGACAGGGGCAGCAGTTGTAAGTGTGGGACCGGTGGGAGCAGGGGCTGGCAAGGTCTCATTGAAGCCATATTCTAAACTCTGACATCTGCCCACATCTGCTTTCTCAAAACTAACTGCGTTCTCCAAGTATTTCATCCTAGAAAAAATATGTTTCAGTAAAGTTTATTGGCACTTTTAAAACTTTGTAAGTTCATAATCTCTTCTTCACTATGTTAAGGTAATGATTACAACTCCATCTGAATCACACTACAAGTATACAGTATAAAACAAAGGACAATTTGGTTAATTTGACAACATATTCACTTAGATAAGTTAATCTGAGCTTATTAACTCACTTTGAATTAATGACAACATCTCGTATACATCCTCTGAAAGGTTGTGCTGTGTCAGGAATCACATTTCCTGCAGGCCAGTCTTGGGGAACTCCACCTATATATAGACCTTTTTCAGGGTCCCCTGAGATCTTGTTGTCACCTTTCCTTGGGATGAATGCATTGCCGACCCACTGGTCATCTATTATCAGCTGGATCCTGGAATAAAAATGAGATGTGTGTAATGATAATGTGTGTAACAAAAAATGTGTGCAATAAAAATGTGTGTCATAAAAAATGTTAAAAAAAAGATGTGTGTAATAAAAATGTTTACATGGGAGGGTTCCAAATGCAGTTTCTCATCCACAAAAAATAATATAAATATGTCATCTATAAAGAACTTTCGCAGAAAGGAGAAAATCAAATAAAAGTACTTGTTATGTAACAGAAAGAAAAAAAATTGATAGAAAAACTGTGCAACGTTAAAACAAATTAGACTTGCTGATTTTCTCAATTCACCTAGCATCAAGCTGTATGAACTAAGATTTATTCAATTCAATTGAATTTTCATTCATACAGAATTACAATTGATGGTAGGTGTCAACATATATGATCTTTTACCCATGCATAAATTGGGAGTTGGTCAAGAACTATTCCTTACTGTCTACGTTGCTTCACTACAGACAAAGTGTGTAACTCTCCATCATTATAACGTTTGCTTGTTCCCATGCCAAACTGGCCTGTTCCTGGGTTAAAGGTTGCCACTGCATAGCCATCCCTAAGTGCTATGTAGAAGTTATCCTGAAAGAAGAGTATCTCAGTATGAAATATTGATGATTTGAAGCAACATTACAGTATGTAATATCAAGTTTTTAAAATCCAAATTGGCCAATAACTCCAAATAATTTGGTCATCTGGTCATAAAGATGTGTTTCCTTATCACTAGAGTTTGGCTATTGAGCAAAACTGGCCCAGAGCTCTTTTCAATCAGCATGCATTACAAATAACAGAACTGGTGTATTATTCAATTCTGAGGCTGAATAGACCTGTTACATTGCCTCATATATAGACTCAGCCTCGCCTCAGTCAGAATTATTACTCACCCCCTCTGGTACAGGCTTTGAGACCATCAGTATTGTATCTGGTTGGTACGTCTGGAATGTAAGTGATATGGTTGCATCCTTTGGTAAGTCTTCTCCAGGAATCTCAAGGAACCCAGTGCCAGGGAATCCAACTACTCTTGATTTCTGAAAAGTAAAATGAAAATTCATGTCAAAGATATATGTATAGAGATAATCAGCTAAATGCTCTTGTAAAAATCTGGGCGTCATTTGCAGAAATTTCGTAAAGTAAATAAATCATAATCAATTGTTGCAACCATGGATATAAAGAGCATCACAGTTAGAGAACAATGGACATTACAAATTACGAAGTTTTCTGTTAATGGCCCCCAGAATAACAAATCATTGACTTCTGATATCCACAATTATTTTTGATGTATGAGTAACAATCAGATTTTCTTAAATTATTTTGTTTTTATGTTTAGCTATTCTTCCAGCAATTTTGGACTGTGATTGCTTTTGATTAGGGAAGTGATGTGTTTAGCTACAATTTTTTGAGACTTCAAGACATTAATTGAGATGCTGGGAAATTGATTCCATATGACTGGTTATCCTCTGAAATATTCCTTTCTATACACGCTTTTCAATATTTTTACCTTTACCATCAAGACATTTGTGCTTTTACATATTTTCTGTGAATAATGTGATAACTTATATATACTTACATCTCTACAGCCAGACTGCATGCCTATGTACTTGCCGTTGAGTAGATTGAGAGCAGTCAATCCCCTAGAGGTCACTGATATATCCCTCATACACCCAAGGAAACTCATCGCTGTCACATTGAATCTGAAATGTTCCAAAGAAATTGTTTTGGCCCAGATATATCACCACATGAAGCTCTTTAAAAGATCTTTGAATATCCCATTCTAATACTTTTCAATCTTTACAAGGAAACTGTAAAACAAACTTCTGTATGTATTATGATTCAAAGTGCCCCATAGTTAATTTATGAATTATTTGAAAAAGTGGAATGAGCCTGTGATCTATAGCTAAGGTAAACATAAGCCCCAGCTGGTGATTTTCAGCTTATAATGGAAAACAACATGACAACTCCATGATCAGTAAATCAAATCCCTACGATACATCCTGCAAGTGGCTATTAATGACAACCACACCATTTCTCAATCAGACACAGAATGGATTAAATCGTGAGCAAGGAGGGGGCAGAGACAGTAAAGCCTTTAAGAACTTACTGTGCATCCTTCACATTGAGAGAGATACCACCAAAGTAGAGATCTGCTGTCGAAATCTCAAGATCTGTTGCCTCACCAGTTGTATCTCCTCCTATCACCTCATCACCCACTGTAAGTTGACCTGTTGAGAGAGGTTGAAAAAAATTATGTGACAGAATTTGCCAATGGGCCACTAAATTATACTGCGAAAGCTAACCAGACAAAATTCCCTAAAAATTGCCATTTTATTCCTGAGTCCACCATTGAAATTTTGATGTGGACACGTTAGAAATTTGTAATATTTATTTTGCAATTTCTATAAGTCAGAATACAATGAATGATGTGTATGAAGACCATACCTTTAGAGCCCTTTCTTGATGCAACTACCTTGACCCATTCGTTGGTGTTGTATCTTTTCTCAGTTATCATCTCACCATATGATCCATCCCCAAAGTTATAGTGAAACTTCACGCGACCATCTATCAATTGTAATGATGCAAAGTTCCTCTACAAATGAAGAATATTCAATATTTCATATATTCGTAAGCTATTTTATTCATTCATTCATCGTGGTACAACAGCTATGCCATCAACAGAGAGTCAACAGAGTCTGTATTTTTTTTAATTAATAGAAATCATAAGGCAGGCTTACATCCCATGTGCATGTCTTAACTTTGCCATCAAATATATCAGAAAAAAAGAAGTACAAACCATACACAATAATTTAAAATATGGTTATTAAAAAACAAAAGCATACAGATGGTTTAGAAATATCTTACATAGACCTTAAATATAACTCCATGACAACTCTATGAATGAGTGATATCTATAGGAACTTAAACTTCATATACAATATATATTCATACTGACATCCTATCCACACAGGCTTCAATATTATCGCACTTTGACCACCTTAAGGACTGAAAGTGTCCACCTCTGCCAAAAATACTTTACTATATCATTACTTACGTTTGCCTCATTTCCCGCAAAGAACAACAAGGAATCATCCCAGAAACTCCTGAACTCCAATTTGATACCTAAAGTATCAGCACGGAATCTCTGGAATGGCGGCATTGTCACATAACCTGTTCCATCAAACTGGTAGGTATTTGACGTCCCGGCATCAGACGATGGTCTGTAACAACAATGACTTCAATTAAACCCCAATTCATAAATAAACTAACATAACATAGTTTTTTTAGACATTCTTAAGAAATAAGTTTAAGGGTCTCCTAGTGGTGATATTTAGACTTAAAAAAATTGAAAGCATAATTCCTAACTAGATATACAATTTCACATTTCACATAGATTGAAGATTTATTGAACTTTCTCGTTATTAATTATCAGTTTTTGCAATTCAAGCTTGAAAGCTACATGCTTACCCTAAAGCCTCAATTGTTCACTCATTACTCACTTTGAATGTATACCAGCTAGGGTTCATTTGCACAAAAATTAAGAAAAACACAATCATGCACATTCAAATAAAAAAAAGTCCATCACCTCATTTTTCTGTTCAGTATTTAACCAATTGTTTTCTAAATAATTAGTTCTTCCAGTCCTATCCTTTTAAGGTGGCCCAGCACTCATAAAAATATTACATGCATAGTAATAGTATAATTGCCCAAAGAAACTTTAATTTTCATCAAACAAATATCAAAAAGTCTATTTTAAAACTCTCAAGGAACGAATACACACTGGCCTTCAGAATCAATATTAGAACATCTGATTAGGTAAACTTGCTTAAATATGAGCAGCAGTAGTTACACTTTAAGTGATTGACTTATACTGTGCAGAGAAAAAATAAGCAACAAGTTCAACTTAGTTCTGTATGGAACCTTATATTACTTAACAATACATTGAACAGCATACTGTATATATTATATATATTGTATTTTGATGTATATCGTGTAAGTATGGTTTCATTTCATAGGAATTAAACCATAAATATCTATAAAGCAGTTGTAATGGGGCAGCTTCATGCTTTTACCACAAGACTGTTGTAATGTAGCCAGAAAAGAAAGATTTGTGAGAGACAACTGGTGAACTATATATAAGTCCAGTTTTGCCTTCTTTTTGCAGGATAACAATAAAATCATGCATTTCTTATTGGATAACAGTCTTATTTCCCTACACCTCATTTCAAGCACCAGAGTGCACCCAGGCACACCAGAGTGCACCTTAGCACACCAGAGTGCACCCAGGCACACCAGAGTACACTTTAGCACACCAGAGTGCACCCAGGCACACCAGAGTACACTTTAGCACACCAGAGTGCACCTTAGCACACCAGAGTGCACCTTAGCACACAAGAGTGCACCCAGGCACACCAAAGTACACTTTAGCACACCAGAGTGCACCCAGGCACACCAGAGTACACTTTAGCACACCAGAGGGCACCTTAGCGCACCAGAGTGCAGCTAAGCAAGCATGTTAAATGCCCTACCTAACTAGGACTGAACTGACAGCCATTATGTCAATGGGTAAGTCTACCCCTTTAGGACTGGTTAAACAGAAATATGAATCAAGTTAGTTGTGAGAAGCGAGTTATAATTGTTCAAAACTATTAAATGTTAAGTATACAACACAACATACATATTCAATACTAATTGGGCATAACATTAAACTAAAATAAATTGTTAAAGTTAAAACATGAATATTGGGTTACACATTAGTTATTTTATGTGCAGTCACATTGTTTTAATTGGTGCTTATTATGATACTTATACACATCTATATATGGTACATACGAGCTGCAAAACACAGATATAACAAACATATTGTCTATTTTCTAATTAAAAGCATGTGTCAAATAATTCAAACTCTAAAAATGGGTTAGAATGATGGTGTATGATGTACATGTATTAAAAAATGTTTCGAAAATTCCAATGATGTGTTAAATATCAAGATTACAGGATTTACAAAGATAGAATATGCTTCAATTTTGATATGATGATGAAAGATGTTCTTTAATTTACTAATTGATCATGGGTTTATAGGAGTCCAATGGACTAAATCAAAGGCCCCCTGCCATGCACTACGGCCAGCTGCAAGCTGCTCAAACCACCATAAAGCAATGAAACTGACATCTATAAATTACGTCAAACTTAAAACACATCCACAGCTGACATCTATATTCTAGGATACAAGTTAAAAGTATAACTTACACAGTTGTGCATCCGCCACATGAGTTTTGACCCTCGACCTCTCGGAAGTTGTATAGACCTATAGTTTTACCATCCATTGTGACATCGCCAATACAACCAATGAAAGTGTTGCTTTTCAATGTGGAAGGAAGCTGAAATATGATAAAGAAAATATTAAAGGATAAATTGATAAAAGAACAACAGTTAGTGTAAGACCAATCAATCCCAATTTCAAAATAGTACGCTATGATGAACTATCAATCCATCATCAACTAATCCTTTTAGGATACACCATGGATTATTGACTGGCAATGACTACTTTCATTTCCCTCTGGGGAACATTGAAATATCCAACATGAGGTTGTGCCTTACACTGAAATCCTTTGGTACACCACCAATGTAGAACAATCCATCAGAGTCTATGTCCATCCTAGTGTAGGTGGGGGGAGCAGTACCAGTTACTGTTTGTTGTTCATCTTCAGGTGTAGACATCTTGCGTACACTCAAGGTTCCAACATTAGTGAACCTGCAATGGTGTTTGAATTATTTTACTTCAAAAAGTGATAATAAAATCATAATTGCATTTGTGTTACATTCTTTTGTTGGGTTCAAAATGAAATTTTTTTTTTTTATTTATATCTGTGAAAGATTTACTCTTCCTTAGTTACTACATGTACATTATAAATACATGTACTGCTGCTAAATATTAATAACATGATCTTCTGGAAAAAATAAAATGTGATGCGAAAATTCCCACCTGTTGGCTTCTATGCGGTACCACTGAGCATTCTCATTGATGTCTTCATAATTTGCATTTTCAATCTCCAGTGGATGTTCCAGTATCTGAGAGCCTGCTCCATTGTCAAACATAAACCTGACCTTCTTGTTCAGTAGCTCTATAGCCATGTAGTCCAACTAGGAAATATACATACATCAATGGATGATTCTGAACATTAATTTTGAATGGCAAATACGAATTACTGTAAAGTACATATTTGGAGATCTTAATGCAAACAATAATTTTTAAGTTAAGCCTCAAGTTTAAAGCAAATTGAAGCATTGTTTCCTGAGTTATAGTTAAAAAGTGAATTTTCTGTAATAGAAATGGTGGCCATTTTGAATGAAAATAGGCAAGCTTTTCAACCATAAAAGTCACACATTTTTTCTTATTCTTATTGTTGATAAGCAAAAATAACTTAAAACTGGAATCCTGTCAACAGAGATTTTAAAAAGTTCCACTATTGTTGACAGACAGATGGACAGATGGGGGATTGCAACTTCATATGCATAATTGAATAAGCTTACTTCTTCGCCAGCTTTGTTGCTTTGGATATAAAACAGCAACATGTCAGTGCTTGAAGTGTTGGTCTTGAAGTGCATACTGATTGTGTTGGATGTACTTGGCCTGATGTCTGGCTTATAGGCCCTTACACATGATCCACTGGCTGCGATTGATGTCTTGATCTGTAAATATACACCACATATAGAGGCAAAATACATACACGTAGGTAAAGTACATAGGGCATAGACATAAGTCATATACAAGGTAGGTTATTCATATTCAATGGGAACATATTTACATACAAACCTATACAAATATGTATGTATAGGTCTATTCAGCACTCAACATTTAATTGGGATGTTGTAGCTTCGATTGCAATTCACATCCAAGTGGAGTGACTTTTTACAGTCCTAACTACTTGAATAGTATTTGATCTATGTTTCAAAATGACCAACATAAGTAAAACAAATTGTTTGCGATTACAGATTTTTGAAATTCTCATGTACATTGTATTTTCAAAATCTACTCAAAATCAGGTAAAATTCGTAATCCTAAACAATTTGTTTTAACACTAAAACATATTACAACATAAATAATATATATATACTGTGCATAGGACACTTAGCATGAATCATATGCTTCACTTACAGTGTTGGCCTGTTGTCTGGCCTGCATGATTCTGTCTTTCAACTGCATTATATTCTTGTTAATCTTGTTGTTCAGGATGCCCATTGTTTCAGCTTTCTCTTCAAGATCTTTGGTGATATTCTTGGCTTTGTTGAACTTCTTCACAGCATCAATCACTAGAGGGAAAATAGAAATACTATTGTACTGTATGCCATGTATTGCATTTTAATTTACTGTATTGTATTGTATGTCATGTATTGCACTTTATTTTACTATATTGTATTGTATCATATGTATTGTATTGCATTTTTTTGAAATTGTTATGTATTGTATTTTATCATATGTATTGCAGTGCATTTTATTGAAATTGTTATGTATTGTATTTTATCATTATGTATTGCATTGCATTTTATTGAAATTGTTATGTATTGTATTTTATCATTCTATTGCAGTACACCCCATCATATTTTACCTGTTTCCTCCATCTCATCAAATCCTCCAATGTCAATGTTCTTCAGAAGGTCCAGCTTTGGTTTCCATTGCTTCTCCATGTCATTGGTGATATTGTCAACTGTTGCAATCTTGTCATCAGATCTCTCCATGATATCTTCAGCATTCAGTTTAACATCTCCCAATATGACACTGAGGCCTGTAAGGTTTGACATGATGTTTTAAGATTTCTCGGGCAATGAGGACTTGAAAATGTTTCGTGACTTTTTTATGAATTTAATTGTGTCATTGAAGTATACATCCTTCAATATTGTGCTCTTTTTAATCAAGTTTAGTGTTTGTAATCTTCTTAAATCAATGTACTGTACCACTGTATGAAAAAGTGATTCAGAATTTCAGGAACGAAGACACTTTTTACAATTCAAAAGAGTGAAATATCGATTCTGTACAACACAGCATAAAAATACAGGATATATTTATATCACATGGGTCAATTAGATCACAAGAACAAAACACAGCTCAATAATTCAAGGAAATCATTACCATTTGTTTCATTGAGTTTGTCCATTTCATCATTGACATAGTCCACCTCAACCTTAACATTCTTTGTGGTCTTGTCAACAACAGCCAGGTTCTCTTCTGCAGTGACCAGCCTCTCACTGAAATCTACAGTATAGAAGAGATATTATTAGTTTTGTTAAACACTAGATAACTTGGGGTATATATGTCAGTTAGAAATTAAGTATACAACAATGATGGTGCATATGAATTTAGATAGTGTTGAGACAGTTTAAATAATGGAGAGGTTGATTTCATTTGATCCTTACAAAGGTGGACTGACTTTTTCACACCAGCCCTTAAACAGAATTGCATTCTGCGTTTTCAAATTTAAGTTTCTCCAGTCAATATAAGTGATACTAGCATTGTCAATATACATTAATAGTCATAAAAGATTCAAATGTTTGGGAATTTGAATAAAAAATTTCTGATTTTAACAAATCATTAGAAAGAACATTCTGAATCAATATAAATCCTGAAAAATGGTTTACAAATGCTGAGCAAGTAAGTCTGGAAAATCCAGAGCCTCGTCAATTTCAACCAACCTTCTGTGGCATTAAGATGAGCACTTGCATTAGTCATCATGTCTTTACTCCTCTGCAGAGCTTTTGCTGCTTGTTCTCTAATGGTACCTTCTGGTTGCATCATTGCCTGGAGATTAAAACATGACACATAACAGGGAGTCAAGCAGGGAGTTTAACTATATTACTAAGCTATATTACAAAACGAAAAAATTCTGTTTAATAAATCATGTTTTGCCCATACACTAAACAACCAAAGTTCAGTATATACATTATACATGTGTTGTTTGTTTACATAAAGCTTTACTATAACGTAAATAAAAAAGTGTAAAGTAAAAGTAAATCACAGAAAGGTGTGACCCACCTGATCATGTGAGAAATCAGAAGCATCCTTTGCATCATTAGCAGCTGCCTCAGATTCGTTTATAGCTTTAATGATGTTAACATAAACACTGGCTGCGGCAAGGGAATCTACGGCTGCATCCTTTGTTGGCTTGAAAAAGCTACAATCACAGCAGCATATGAAGGTTAATTAAGTTGTTTGCACTTGCTTTATGTTTATATACATGCATAATCAAATTAAATCATGAACATCTAGAAAATCATATTTCCCACCTTTAAGTAGCTAACATTAATTTCACATTCAAACTTCATTAAAAGAGCCATGAAAATCCGAGATAATCATTTATCATAATCATTCATCAGTATCAGAACTGTAAATCCATCTGTTATAATCAGAGGGTGTGTGGCTAGCAGATGTGAGTTTGTGGTAACATTGTGGGAGTTTGTGATAACATTGTGAGAGATTGTGGTAACATTGTACTTACTCAGCAAGCTCATCTGCATATTTTTCCAAGTTAGCAGAGTGGTTCTGTGCCTCTTGCACCCTCTCTCTCATCTTAGGAATGTTCTGTTTAAGCAGTCCTCCCTTCTCAAACAACGCCTTGGACAACTCTACCAACTCATTGCTCATCACACGTGACTCCTTTAAGGGAGAAGTTCATATTACATTGTTCGTTAATTGTTATATTGGTTTGTCTTATGAGTGCGCTTTTTGGATTGTGAACTGATTATCATTCCACAAAGCTGTTGTTTCAAACTTTGCACGAATACATAGCAAAATGTGAATATACAAGAAGAAGACTATAATTACTGATCCTTACTTCATATGCCTTACTAGCATTATTCCACAACATATCCGCTGCATTTTCATTGAGCTCTTTTGCCATATCCAGCACACCGCGGACCATTGCTGAGTCATTATTAATTTGTTCAACCATATCCTGAAGCATCCCAAGATTGCGCTTATTCTGCTGAGTCATCAATTGAGTGACCATACTGTTGTTATTTGACTCTGCTATGTGTTGTTTCAGGTCATTAATTTTGTCTAAGATGACGTTGTTTCGTTGCTTCACTCCTTCCAAATCTAGGTTGTCCACTGTGCCTAGTACATTCTGTACATCTTTCAGTGCTTGCTGGGCTGCTCTGAAAATGGATTATGTGCCATGAGTACAAGCATTCAGTTAATATGTAATCACAAGTGCCCAAAGGGGAAAGACCAAAAAGTACTACTAAACACAGTGGGAAGAGGATAATGGAAAACGAGAAAAAGAAACACTCCAATATTATAAACTGTATGAGAACATAGCTATGAACAGTACACATTAACTCATAGCAGAACAAAGATGCTCATCATTAAATGAGAGCAATCCCTGGAGGCTGAGAATTACTATAAACTCAACAAAAATGCATGTAACTGAAAAACAGAGAGACCATGGGTGCATATCCTGAGGTTGTATGTAATCATATCTCAAAATCGCCTGGCTTCTGAATCGATGACATCTACCCCTTCTTATACCATACCACATTGTAGTACCAAATTAAATACGGTCACTTACTTGAGTTCAGTGTTCGCATCAGTTTCATCTGGGAAGAAATTTCGCTGAACAATCTCATCGAGAATCATTTCTGCTTCTCCTAGTGCCTTAGTCAGGTCAAACAGACTCTTGCTCTGGTTCTTCAACTGTGCATTCACTAGTCCTACAGCTTCCTCAACAGAAGCTAAAAGTATATACCAATTTAACATTTAAATCGATATGTCAGATAAAAGTCCCATTTTTGCAATCTCGACATTTCCATTATACAAAATAATCAATTTATATGTACGAGTATAAATGTCTAGAAACAAGTCATTAACCAGTCGAACATCTACTATTCTGAAGAATTTTGGCTGGTCCAAGTTGCATTTAGATTAGACAGGTTTAACTGTATCTAGATGAACACAATTATGACAACTCTACAAACAGTAAAACCTTTAATGTGGAATAATGTCGAACATTTTAAAGTCCCGTTACTCAAAACTTTAATGTAAAATGAACCTCTCTCAGTCGAACACTTCCAAAGTGTACACTTTTTTTCCCAAATGAAACAGTATCTTCGGGTATCAAATAGGTTCCACTTTCACAGCTTTTACTGAATAACAACATTTTAGTGATAATACAGTATTCACCTCTCATTTCTGCATCCATCTTGTTGACATCGTTAAATATTGACATCGATTCATTTGCTAGCCTCTGGCCATCTAGAGCATTCTTTAAGGATTCTCCCCGCATAATTCTACTCTTGTTAAGGAGTGCTTCTGAATCTTCTTTCGCCTCTGTAAAATAAACAGATAAATATAACTAATATATATTTGATGATCAAATATATATTAAGAAAAATCACATAATATCAAATTTATCCCATGATAATTCAAACAGTTTAATATTTAATGTTAGAGGTTGTTTTTTTCCATGCATATGGATATCATATCAGTGACTAGTTGGTAATCAAATCAAAGTTGAAACAGACATATGAGGTTAAATACATATGAAGTGTATATATTTAGAGGCATTATGTAAATGTGCATTTCCCTTTACCTGCAACGAGTGCACCTAAATCTCCCACACCAACAAACTTGGCTGCATCCAGAGTTTTTCTTATCCTCACTGACAAATTCTGGGCAGCAAACATTCGTTCCCATGGTAACAGTGCAACACCATCAAGATTGTTGGCAGTCATGTTGTATTCTAACTCATCAATGGCTTCCATCAATTCAGAAGTACATCCCTCATCACAAGCTGGAACAGAAATACTAACTCATATACATAAATCTTTACAGAAATTGTTAGTTATCTGAAAACTGCACATCATTTATACCGGTATCTACATTTTGTGTATGTGAGAATACAATGAATGCCTGTCTTTACTAAATTCTACTTTGATGAAAACCCATATAATTTTCAATTGTTGCAAAAATAAATATGGGGTGGAAAATAAGAAAACGTTCTAAGAAATTCTCTAAGCTTCTACAAAAGTCAAAGGTTGTAAGAAGAGCCATAGTAACGACATTATCTTTAGGTGGCTGCCTTTGGGTGCTATAAAAGCAATAATTCATGACATCTGAAAATCTGCACATTATTCTAAAGTGATGTTCATAAGATTGTTGATTTCAAGACTATAAAGGTAACATTGCTGTGTTTCTAGCATTGCTGTGTTCGTGGGATCAGAAAAATGAAAAGATTCATGAAATTCTATAGACTATTCATGATTATTTATTCCAAACATAAATATAATAGCTCAGGAAAATTCCTTACAAACACATGCTCCTTCATCAACTGCATATCTTTCTTCACACTCGTCACATGCTCGTCCCAGCACTCCTTCAAAGCACTCGCACTGTCCCGTGACATTATCACACATTCCACTGAACGAGCCCTCTGGGTTACACAGACAGGGTATGCAGGAGCCACCCACAGTGGTGGGGTCACCATAGTAATCATCAGCACAACGTTCACACTTGTCACCTGTATAACCCTCAGGGCAGGCATTACACACATAATCTGTACCAGCTTCGTTAAGTTCACACGTCGGACTGAAGCTGCAACAATAACACAGTTATAGCTGTAACACATAATAGTGTTAAAGATGCAACAAATACAACAATTATAAATACTTATTTCAATATTGAAATACTGATTAGCAGTATTCAAAATATTTAATTGATTCCAAAATTACAATTATTTTCACAATTAGTTACAAAATTACAATTAATTTCAAAAATAGCTACAAAATTACAATTAATTTCAAAAATAGCCACAAAATTACAATTAATTTCAAAATAGCTACAAAATTACAATTAATTTCAAAAATAGCTACAAAATTACAATAAGTTTCTTTGCAGTACACAATCCATAACTTGTCAGGTAGGTTTCATCAACAAGCATAGAAAGTAGAAACTAATCATATTTGTGAGACTTTCTGAAATTAACTTACTTGTTACTTGAGTCAAAGAGAGGACAGGCACATGGTTTACAAGAATCATTGCGCCCCGAAGATGTGTCACCATAGTAACCATCTATACACTTCTCACAATGGTCGCCTGAGGTCAGGTGTTGGCAATCCTACAATCAATACAACTTTAAGATTAAAATTCTAAATGTGAGTCTTCTATGTAGTAAAGGTTGACAGAGCTTATTGGTAGCAAAGTCTATTTATACAAGATAATTTACATTTAAAATATCACGAAAGCTTTGAGAAACATCTATAATTGTTAAAATCTATCAGAATTGAGGATTCAGGGTAAATGCATGAGACATGTTTGAATGACTTACATAGCAGACTCCTGTCTCTTTATCACACAGCTTGCTGTGGCCATTACACTGACACTTTTCACTAGAGCCAATCAGATCTTCAGGTGCTGTGGCGTTATCTGAAGGCTTGCGGAAATAGCCATCAGCTGGATCCTGTAATGTCAAATTTCGATTTATTAAATATATACATTCTCCTGAATATACTGTAGGTATGATGGATAATTAGTATCGGTATTTACACCAGCTTCACATAAAAAATTTATACATTTTTTACCTCTATTCAACTTTAGGGAATAAATATTTACCATAGCATCAAGTCAAAGAATCAGGAAGAAATAAAGAAAGCTAGTAACAACATTCAAGTGATAGACTATCATTTCTTTATTTATATTTTGTAAAAGGACATGTTTTTGTCTTACCTGACAGGAGAGTCCAGTGTATTCTGGGGGACAGGTGCACATCTCAACCCCTAGAGCATTAGGGGTACCATTGGTTGCCATGGCAACATCCAGAGATATATCACGGATCCTGTGAAAATTACAATATAATGCAAATGAACATCTGTCAGTAGAACATTTCTTAGCAGAACACCATTTTAAGGCATCAAATGTATTCCATTCAACAGGTTCACTATGGTAGCATTAGACAATTTATGCACAATACAAAATGGTGAATAGTTTTAAGCACTATGCTCAAATCATTTACTTACTCAGCTGAGAGGACAGGTGGTGCTTCAGTAGCTCGAACAAGTATTGCCTGGACATTCTGAAGGGCAGCCATCAGTGTGGCCCTGCTTACTGGTACCCTTTTTACAGAGTATGTACCATTTGTAAACCACTGGTCCTGAAATAGCGACAAAATAGTATTGATATTCTTGGAACTACTAAATGATTTGATGTGGCAATAGTTGACATTCCTGGTATAATTTTGAATGTAATCTTTAGCAAAAAACATCCATAGTTTCATTGATATTACATATAAATGAACAGCTCTTTTGTTGCAAATAAAAGAAGTTCAATATCATCTGATGATAGCATCGCAGCTTATTTTTTGTTCCTTGATGTTTTCCTTCTCAATTTATAATTAATTCCCTGATGAGAGCATCACAATAGTCTTTGTTCATTAGAAAATATGTTAACCAACCTTAACCTTATACAAACCATTTTTACATTAACAAGCCTTATAAAGCCAACAGGTTAGATAAAACATTTGCCCCTTCCATTTGCTATTTTATATATAACATAAACAGGCCTTTCCAATGAACCCTACCACATTTTGCAACACCAATGAAACTAGATACAGTGGCCAGATTCGTGATGTTATAGGTCATATATATGTTTTCAATGTTTTCAATCACAATGCTAACAAGCATTTCCAAATCAGCAAATAATTATTTTTTAGTTCTGAAAACATAGGTATAACCTATGACACGATTGTGGCCAAGTTGACCTGGTTTCCTGGTGTCGAAAAGGGAACAAAGTTTATTTGAAAGGTCTTTTACATTCGACTCTCTCTTAAAGTATTAAAGTACTTAGGTGGGTCAGTCAGAATAGGTAGTCTGTTGATTAACTTTGGCCTGTCACAGAAACTAAGCCAAACTTTGGAACACACAAGTATATTTGTATGTTGGTTGATAAGTTATTGTTATTTTACCCACCCATAACCAATCGTTACATTATGACATCATTACAGTACGACATCATTATATTATGATAACATGAAGCAATATAATATACCCGTAGATGAAGCCAATATATTATATTAGGTAGGATCTTAATTTTAGATCAAGCACATCAAAAGATATTAGGACGTTATGTGCATGTACTTCTTGTAGTTCATAATAATGTACATTTCATATAATTCATAATACACATTATTAAGGCAAACAAGAGTTTTCGCAGTGCATAAACTGATGAAATGTGTATTATAAAAAACTGCCATTTGATTGGTTTATAGAAAACTATGATGTCAATGCCATTTTTTTTATTAATCATTTTTATTTCAAGTTCATATATTATATATAACATTTAATAATGAAAATTCACAGCCATTATAAAGGCTATTTTATATGTGTATCATTACTCAAGATTCCAAAATCTATATTATTCAAGTATATCTCAAGTCATTTTTATGTTATCAGGTCATCTGGTCATGGACTGCGAAAACACTGTTAAATAACAATAAATAACAACAACAATGGTTATGACAACATGTATCCCTGCACTATTAGTCAGTGCTATATTCTGCCTGTTCACTCACCCACACTTGTGTATCATTACGCTCAATCCAAGAGTCCTAAAATAATGGTTTTTATAGCAACTCAATTCACCTTTTCTAATTCATTAACCTGTGCACTATAACCATCTTATTCATGCATGTACAGGTACCATATATTTAAACATGCCATATTCTGTTTTTTGTTATTTTTCTGTAATGGTATTGCATCTAGTACAGCTCCCATGTGAATAGTTTATATCATCTATTTAAGAGATGATGCACTTATATTACACTTATTATTCCTATGGAAATGAAATAACATGAAATCAAAATAATTGTCCTTTGCTCCATTAAAATCACCCTTTGCATCAGGATCATCTTTGTCAATAATATATTACATGTACAGTACCAACAAAACCTTCTCGAGCCTATCTGTTGAAAACATACTATTAAGTGTTCTCTGATTGGTTGAGCACCAAGCTCTAAAATGATCAGTCTTAGTTAGAGTACAGTGTACATTGAGTATTGAGGGTAATAATGGATCGATTAGAAAATATTCTTACCTCATGTAAGGGCACCTCAAATGTGATATCAGCATCAGGTGCCAGGGTGTTATTGATATAATACTCCAAGTAGATGCGGTTATTACCCACCAGCTGGACCAATGGGAAAATGGACTGAACGGTATCATTAATACCCGGCAGATTAGAGTAACGAATAGTGAACCTCAGTTTACCATTGTAGGATATGATCTGTAAATCAATGTCATTTAGTTTTATATAGCGACATTGTATCCCAATATACCTGTATATGCCATTTCAAAGTATCACCAATACATTTCTCCCAAATGGAAACCTATGGCCTGGTCATGATTTCAGCATGCTTAATTTACATGCTATTCATTATTATTTCAAACATGTCATAATCTTATATCTTACAAATCTCAAAACCCCAATAGTCCATATTCTTTTCAAATATGTTTATTGCAAATTATTAAAATTGTTACCAACCCATCTTACATTTTTATCCACAAATAACATTACTTTTTCAATTGAGAATTACTTGAAATACAGTTAAGTTTAAGTTGTCCTCCCCTTAGACCTAACTCAACAAATTCATATTTACCTTATCTCCAAGTAACTGCTGAGGCAGGCTCCAATACACAGGCTTCATCCCTCCACCCACAGACTCTATTCTCACACTCTTAGTGCCTGGGTTAACCACAGGTAGTCCTGGGCCAGGGCGCAGAATGATCACAGACTCTGCATCTTCATTATGGGTGATCCCCTGACCTGGGGCTTCAACCTGGAATCATGAATTAACAGTTAAGATCAGGAAAGGTCTGTTTCTGGTTGGTCATCAGGCTTCCAAATCTAGACATGTATCCACCAAGTTATCTTTTTTGTCTAAAAATTGAAAAAAATAATGGTAACAATGATGCGTCCGTTTAAATGAGATATTTTGACAGCAAAAAGGTATTGTCTCCAAAATGTAGAAGCTGAGACCAATAGTGTAAATTACCAGCATTAAGCCCCATAAAATGGATTTGAGTATCATTAAGAAAATAGGCAATTTTTTTCATGTGGAATTTATGATGGATGGTTGGTTGGATGTATGGATGGTTGATTGGATGGGTGGTTGGATGCATGGACAGACAGGCAGAGAGACAGATGGATGGACATCTTATTTCTAAAAGTGTATCCAAGCTGTGAAAACTGTTTTTGTTATTGAACATGCTGATGCATTAAGTATGATAGTTCCCTACCTGTACCCAACTATAAGGAGCTTGACTGCAGATGTTGGACTTGCCAAAGCAGAAACAGGCCATACATCCTTCAGGATTGTTGGCAGCAATGTTATAATAGCCTTCCTTACAATGGCCACATTTCTTCCCCTCTGTATTAGCCTGCAGAATACAATAATGTACATAATATAATTCAACATTTTATCTAAATATTTCAAATAAATTGCAGCTGAAGTACAAGATAAATGTACAGCAGTATATGCATTTCTCATAGAACACCAGAATTCACTGTATTCCACAAAAATTTATCTATCCTGGGTGCAATATGTGTTTAATACCAAAACATTTCATTAGGATTTCATTAGAGTTCAACTCTCAACTGTCTGGATCATTAAACTGGATTTGAACCTACTGTCTATTATTTTTCAATAACATGGTTAAGCAAATATAATCTTAACATCCAACAGGTAATATCCAAATACTCAACTGAGTTCAGCTAGTTTTTAGATTTGGGAAATCCATGGCTATACCTTCCATGTACAAAGCCCCAAATCCATGTACATACCTTACAAGTACAAATGCCCAAATCCATGTTCATACCTTACAAGTACAAAGGCCCAAATCCATGTACATACCTTACAAGTACAAAGACCCAAATCCTGGCTACACCCACAATGGCCCTGTTCATCACACGTCCTTGGATCAGTCCCAGCCTCATTACAATGACATGGTTTACATTCTGGGAAATTAAAGTGGCCAAACTTGCATTCATCACACTTGTCTCCACTGAATCGTTTATTGCATTCACACTTCCCTGTGAGTAAGTCACAATCATTGCTGGTTGAGCCAGTTGGGTCACAGTTACAAGGCTGCAATGTAAATTCATGAATCTCAATTTCCCTATTGTCTTATTTTAGTGGCTGTGTAAATCAATGTACAACATCAATTAAATATATATGAAGTTTCATTGCACTGATTTTTCTATACAATTATATGCACTTTTGTTTCTATATTGCAGGGGTTTCACTAGCAGCAGGCAACAGCCGATTTTCACCGATGTTTTCACAAAATCGCCTGTTGTTTTGAGGGACTTTTCAACTTTTCCATGTTAAATATGATTTCCATTAATTTTGCCTGTTGTTTTCATTTATTTAGCCTGTTGTGAGAAATACCAGTGAAGCATCACAGGACTCACCTTGCATCCATCAATTGGGTCATGACCCCAGGCCCCTAAATCACAGTCCTCACACATATCTCCTATGGTGTAAGGGGGACACACACATTCGCCAGTCTCAGGATCACATACTTGCCCAGGGGCAAGACACACTGGACATTCTTCAAATAAACAAGCAAATTATAAAGATGAAACAGTCTGAATCTCATGTATCGTGGTGAGACAAAAGTGCAGGCTCAAGAGTCAATTAACTTTCCAATAAATCCCAAGCCCTTTCAGTGAACGAGAGAAACTAGTAAGGGTATTATGGCTCCATTTGTGATGACACACATACACTAATGTTTGTAATCTAAAATTGTAAAATATTTCTCCAGTCATGATAGAACCTGAAATTTAAGTAGATCTATTATGTAAATCAAGGCATGAACATACGAAATGTCACCACCTGCCATTTGTTGCAGACACTGATTGCCCAACGCTGTTACAGACACAGAACACCATCCACAAAAAAGTTGAGGACTATAACCAGAAATGATGACATAATAAATTCATCTATGAAATTTTACCTTCACATCCATTTTCACTTAGTCCAAAGTAGCCATTGGCGCAACGATCGCACTGTCTGCCTGTGACACCTGGTTTACACTGACACTGGCCTGTAGTGTCATTACACTGTTGTGTCATTGATCCCACTGGGTCACACATACATGCCTCACAACCTTGACCCTGTTCTATACCATAATGGTTCACCTGGAGGGTAAAGAAATTGCCATTATAAATAATAATAATTCAAAATCCATAAAATCAAACCCTCTACTAGATGTAAAAATTACACCAAAGCCTCACTAACAGTAGATCCACAAAATTGATAGAGAAAATATAAATTGTATATTGGGAAGATACAGCCGCCGTACAGTTGCTGTAAATCAAATGTGACTGAGTCATTAGTAATTTCAATGAGTCATGTACATTATCGGCTCACCTTACAAGTGTCACACATGGCTCCCTCAACATTAGGCAAACATTCACATTGTCCTGTTATGACATCACAATTGCTATTGTTTGTGCCTTGAGCATAACAGTTACAACCTGAAAGGTAAGAGAACATTGTCCTGATCTAGATACTGACAAATGTGCTGCATAAACAGCATAGAAATGTCAAGGAAATGAGAGGCCTGTGCTTTTATCATTAGTGCTTGAACATGTTTGTTAGAAGATTTTAAACAGTAAGCAGGATACAGCTTTACATTTCATCATAATAATGCCTCAAGACCTCCATTTCTTACGCTTCAAGATAATTCTAACATCCAAACCCTCATATAAGATAACCCTTATTTTACTTACTCTCACAGCCAGCCTCGGTGAATCCAAAATATCCTGTTTGGCACTCCTCACATTTCATTCCATTCACCCCATGTTTGCAAGGACATTGACCAGAGACAGGGTCACAAAGGTCAGATGTTGACCCCATCTTGCTACACTCGCATGCCAGGCAGCCCTCCTCAACATTACCAAAGCCATCCTATAATATACAACGGTGTCTAATGTGAATATCTCAGCCATGATCATTACAAAATCAAACAAGGCATTAACAAGCAATATGTCACCACCTGCCATTTGTTACAGATAATGACTGCTACACACCAACACCAATTGCCATCCAGAAAAAGAGTTGGAATCTATAACAATATGTCACCACTTATGGTTGTGACAAAATTACAATATGATTTTGCGATATCTGGTGATCAACTAATAATAAGGGAGACTACATTAAAAGTCGTGGGTATAGTCAATTAATCTTCTCATCAATTATGTTCTCACCTCACATCTTCCGCAGTCTCTGCCAGTAAAGAGAGGTTTACATGTACACTGTCCATCCTCAATGTCACATACACTGTCCGTAGAGCCATGGGGATTACAAGCACACTCTGAATTGAAATGAAATCTATGTCATACTAAAATTAATATGCAACTCTCTCTTCAAAATTCACTGATGTTTTCCAGATACATTTAATTATTTCCTGATATTTCAGACCCTTTAGGGCCAATGGTCAAAATTTCTCGATGTTTCTGAGTGCTGAAAAAATAATTCAATTTCCTGACAAGTTGAAGTCTTTAAGAAACCATAAAGAAAGACAGTTACATTTTAAATATATACTATACATATCTCAAACAGATAGACAGTAACTTTAAATGGCTTTTTCAAAACACATCAGGTAGTTCCTACACTCACCTGTACAATTCAATCCATATGCTGTTCCAAAATATCCAGCCACACATTTCTCACAATGGAATCCTTCTGTGTTGCCTATACACTTGAGACACTGGCCACTTTCACGATCACAGTTCCCGACAGCGTGGAGGTCGACGTTTCCGCTGCACTCGCAAGGACGACAAAAGTCACCAATAACTAATGGATCTCCAAAATAGCCATCAGCACACCTGCATAGAGAAATGTCAATGAGATTGTGTTATGGAAACATTTGCACATTTGCTCTTGCATCGGTATAAATTTCAAGTTGAATGGATAAATAATTTTCCTATAATAATATAATGTCCATTTTAAAAAATATGTGTAACCAATTTAAAAAAAAAGTTCAATTGGTGATGATCAAATCCAAACTGAATTAGGATTGTGTCACACCTTACAAGCGTGCATTTAACTTACTGTTCACAGTGTGGACCAGCATAGGCATCGGGGCAATCAATACATGTATACGAATCACCATCACCAGCTGCAGGGCCCACATTCAGCACACAAACTTCAGCAAAATTGTTGGACTGTTCGAAGAGAGGGCAAGCACACGGAAGGCAGTCATCATTACCACCTCTGGTAGGGTCTCCATAGAAGCCTAAGGCACACTCATCACAATGTTTGCCAGTAGTATGGTCAGCGCAGTCCTGAAAAATGCATACAATTTGGCTCTGTGACCATTGTGTTGTTACTTATAATCATGTTTTTTCATTGTATTATTTTATTTGTTTAAACTTTAAGTAGTAGTAGTGCTGAGGGGGGGGGGGGGTTGGCTGATTTATGTAAACTTCCTACCATAATGAACAATTTTATGTTACTACAAATTCCAATTGTAGCAGCAATAACCATGCAATAATCAAGAACAAGGCATTAACATGACAAAATGTCACCACCTAGTTGCTCACAATATTATGAGTTCAAACTTAAGTCAGATTTGAATTTCTGAGAACTTGTAAAGTCAAATTTGAACTTCTGAAAAGATGTAGATGATTTTGAAAAAAGAATTTGGTCAATTTGAAGCAAGTTGAAAACAGACCTTTTTGACCTTTTTTGACCTTGAGAAGGTCATTAAAGGTCAAATGTCAAATCTAAAGTCAGATTTGAATTTCTGAGAACATGTAGATGATTTTGAAAAAAAAAATTTAGTCAATTTGAAGCAAGTTGAAAAAAGACCTTTTTGACCTTTTTGACTTTGAGAAGGTCATTGAAGGTCAAATGTCAAATCTTAAGTCAAATCTAAAGTCAGATTTGAATTTCTGAGAACACGTAGATGATTTTGAAAAAAAATTTTAGTCAATTTGAAGCAAGTTGAAAACAGACCTTTTTGACCTTTTTGACCTTGAGAAGGTCATTAAAGGTAAAATGTCAAATCTAAAGTCAGATTTGAATTTCTGAGAACATGTAGATGATTTTGAAAAATTTTTTTAGTCAATTTGAAGCAAGTTGAAAACAGACCTTTTTGACCTTTTTTGACCTTGAGAAGGTCATTGAAGGTCAAATGTCAAATCTAAAGTCAGATTTGAAGGTCAAATGTCAAATCTAATGTCAGATTTGAATTTCTGAGAACATGTAGATGATTTTGAAAAAAAATTTAGTCAATGTGAAGCAAGTTGAAAAAAGACCTTTTTGACCTTGAGAAGGTCATTGAAGGTCAAATGTCAAATCTAAAGTCAGATTTGAACTTCTGAGAACATGTAGATGATTTAGAAAAAAATTGAAATCAGTCTAAACAGTATTTGTTAAGTTATAGGAAGTTGTAAGAAATTGTTACAGACGCCGGACGCCAACCGCCGGACGCCAACCGCCGGACGCCAACCGCCGGACGCCAACCGCCGGACGCCAACCGCCAGATGCCAACCGCCGGACGCCAACCAGCAACCGCCGGACACCAACCACCAACCGCCGTCGCAAAAAAACGGAGACCATAACAATATGTCACCACTTTTGGTGGTGACATAAAAATCACACAAATGAAGTAGAGCTAAATAATCTACCAAAAATATGAGCTATGACTTCTAACTATCGAGAATGATATTATGATCATTTTAATCATTTAATTGTTATCTCTTGGTAGGAAGTTCAAAAACTGATGATTTGTTGCCTGGCAGGCATTTGTCCCTGGACTTTTAAGGATTCAACGCCCCATTTGGCAGGCATTATAGAGTTGCAATATTGCATTCAATGTTCCAAGGTTAACCCTCATAAACTCTAGCATTCTTTAAGTACACACATGCATCAAAAATAGACAGATGGAAGCAATAAGAATAGAAAAAGGAGCAACAAAGGCATCATAAAACTCACTGAACATTCTCCAGAGTAGGCATCACAGCTCCTTGAGTGGTTGTTGCACATACATGGTTCACAGATTCCCTCAAATAGCCTGTTCTCAATCCTTCTGTAACCTTCAGCACAGCTCTACAATCATTTTAATGAAAAGTTTATATTACTGAACACCCTATCAACACTGTTCCACAGCTGGATGACTCTAACTGTAGTTAGCATCATTCAAGATGGTTTCCGAAATTCTTTCGTTTTCGACAAACCTCAGATTTCAGCTAAACTAAGCTGAATCTTGATTCCAAAGTTTCGGCATGCAAAGTCTAATAAAACTATGATTGTAAAAAAACAAATAAATGCCCAAACACTCGCAATATTAGAGAATTTGAAAGAAAACGGCTTCACTTAATATGACTCTAACTGAAGTTGATGACAGCTTCAGTTATGGCCTAGTCACATAGCCCGGCCGATGAGGTTACGATGAGCCAGCGATGCAATTTTCACCGAACTCGGCCGAACACCGGCCGGACACTGGCCGGACATCCGTGGCGTTTGTTGCTTAAAACCGCATCGGTGGTAGCTCGGTGAAATTTTAACTTCGGAGTTAAATTTCACCGGGCTCTCACCGAGCTCCCTCATCATGTCATCGCAGCCCCATCGTAACCACATCGGAAAACACGTCGGCCGGTGCACGGCCGAGTATCGGCCGGTGTCCCGTGCATCTGAGACAACCAGAGGGCGAGGTTTTTTAATGGACAGCGGCCGAGCTCCGACCGAGCTCCGGCCGATGTGGGACAGAGCATCGGCCGGTCACTGTTCAAAGCCCGTTAACAACCCGGCCGGCGATCGCACGGTGTCCTGTTACCTGCTCGGGTACCGGCCGTATTCCTTCCGATGTCCGGCCGACCTCCGGCCGGTAGTTGCTGCCACATCGGCAGAAAAAAACTACCATTTTGAGACAGACTCCGTACGGTCACCGGCCGGTGTTCGGTCGGTCGCCTGAAGATGTCTGGACGGAGTCCGTTCACGTCACCGAGCTCTGCTTCCGATGAGGAGAGCTCGGTGGCACCAAAAAAATCCACCGAGCTCTACCGATGTCGGACATCGGCCGGGCTATGTGACTAGGCCATTAGAGAGTCATTCTAAGTGAAGCTGTTTTCTCTATAATTCACCCATATCGCGGTTGTTAGAGCATGTATCAATGGTTGTGATCAACGTTGATTAAATTCATATGATGCAACGAGCTATTTGCAAATACCATTTTAAGTAATTCACTTCAATAATTTAAATAAAAAAAAATAAATGTACCACTTTTTAAATCTGAAGCTCAATTACATGTACTCAGATGATGTTCATTCCATTCATATGAAGTCCACCTTGACTACCTACACAGCAAATTGATCTCATTTTAGCACCCAAGGATGAGATAAAACAGACGGACGGACGGACAGACCAACGGACAGACGCCTGGTCGATCCCATAGGCTCAAAAAGGGAATATCTTATTATATAACATCTTACCTCACAAGAGTCTCCTACATATCCAGGTGGACATTCACAAATCTCAGCTGAGGTCATCCTGTTAGAGTCATCTCCATCAATGGCCTCTCTGGTTGTGTCAAACTCAACGGACAATAGTCTAAATAAAACATATGGCATATATGATCATACAATAAAATTATTACTAACTAGCTGTACAGTGTACATTGGGATTCCTTCCCTAAGTAGGGACAAATGTGTCATTTTTACAATTGTTATTATGGTTGGGCAAAATATATCAAATTTTCATGTTTTTCTTTCTTAAGATGCCGGAGAGTATAGAATATTTTCAGAGACTTGAAGTAAGACAGGAACACTTCAAGAAGACCCACCTTGATTCAACTTGTGCTGTATGGTATGTGGCCAGGATTAACATCGCCCGAAGGTTGGTCAGTACACCCATAAAGTCTTCCTTGAGAACCCCTGACGTCCTGAATCCCGTTGACGGGTCAATGATCTGCCACTTGCTCTCAGTGAGATTTACCGTGTTTTCATGATCATGGTTTTCCACAAAGGAACACCCTCCTGAACCGATCCATATGGATGAACCCTACATTTGAAATACACATTCATGCTGAAGCATTTGGGCAAGGCTTGGGATAATTGATTTCTTTACTTTTTCACCAGTACACTTTGTAATCTATACATGTGTAGTATATGTACACTAATCAGTGCAGGTAAAACACAGTGAAATCTGTACATATCAGAAATACAGACGTGATATTGTGAAGTCTGGTGTGTTATATTCAAGCATCCAAAAGCATGTTTTATGAGGACACATGTATAAATACAAATGTGTTAATTGCATGCATTAATAAGCATCATATTTGCAAATTAAAATCATCACAGCAACCAAAACCTTGTGATAACAATACTTTATCAATATTTAATCTTTTTGTTATTTTCTTTTAATCTGTTTGTTTATATATTTTTTACTTACCTTTCATTTTACTCATCTGAGATGCATTCCGTAAAATAAATATTTTGTGAATCAATTTCAATATGACGTGTCTAGGGCCACTTACATATTGTGCTCTGTGTGTGTCAAATATATCTTATCTTCTTTAATTGAATATATATCTATAGTTGATTGTTTTTATAATTTATTAAAATCCATAGTTCCCCAGCACTCATTTATGAAGTTTCAGTACTTTTTGGTACATGTTCAAAGTAGAATAAATATCATGATTATAAAAATAAACTTTGGAGTTGAAAATCTAAGATTGAATTTTAGTAACTGTTATATGAATAACCGAGTAGTGGGGAAGCTATGAAGCTATATGTTAGAGCCAACCAGGGCAATTTAAACCCACCTCAGCCCCTGGAGGAAATGGGCCACCCTCACCTCCACCACCCTGGCAAGAAACAATTGTAATTATGCACATGGTAACCATGGTAATTATATACACATATGATAGCAACCATTTCACTGCAACATAAGCCCTGCTTAATTCAACCATGATTTAGAACATCTAGAATTCTGTCAAGGGATTTTATAAAAAAAAAACTGCTTCGATAAATGTTTTTTTATATTGAACAGAATAGTATTGAAATTTACTCCATGGCAAAATATAATATGACGATCAGCATAGGATAACACTAAATAAGCAAATGGCAAACTTGAAATAATTAGTTATACATGGTGAGCCCAAAAAGATTCAGTAGAACACCTCGACTTTATTGGCCCAACATGTACTTTTGATCTTAGCAGTGAATTGTGCTTTGCAGTTAAGCAGTGAAATGGTTGTGCAATTTAAAACTTAGGGATAATGTCCAAATGTATACAGCTGTAGAAGAATAAAGTTAATCTACAAGAGGAAAGGTTAACTGATGATTGGAGTACATCATAATGAAATCAATGTTTTCTTTCAACAACTGGCAACATTTGGACACCACCCCTTGTCACATTAAAGACATATGACAAATATTCTACAGAAAAACAAATATGAATTAAGGTAGGAGTAGAACATTTGAATTAACACACAGGATAGATTTGTCATATGTCTATACAATGTTGAATAATTATTAGAAGTAGGTCAGGTGACTCATAGATTGGGTAACCCTGTTATTAAGTCCCAGGTTTGGTATAACCCCCCCCCCCCAAGTTGGGTATTACCCCCCAAGTTGGCTATTACCTCCCAAGTTGGGTATTATCCCCAAGTTGGTTCTATGGATTTGATTATAGCAAGAACTTGTCTTGACTGAATGGCAATCAACTTCCCCACTGATTCACTCCCATTATTTGATTGATTACACCCGCATAATCTGGATAATTGACCCACACACGATTGACTCATGACCCACTTCTAATTTACATGATTGGAAATGATGAGCAAGTACATTTCAAGCAATTATATTTCAGAATGTTGTATTGGTTCTTATATGCATAACATAATTTCTTTAGTATGATGATTTTCACAGAAAATGCTATCAACTCACTGTTTTCACAATTGAGGTAATATGGACTTGCTCATACATTTTAAAATAAGTCATTCTATAGATGTAATAAACACCATTATACCAATATATACTATAGGGTCATGCAAATTAACAATAAACCTGAAAGTCCATTTATTTACATAATACAAGACAAACTATAATTTATCAATAAGAGAAAATATGTGATGACTTAATGTCAAATACATTCGTGTAGTCTTAACAATGAAATGTTTAAAATCTTTTATTATCTATGTGTTATTACCATATCATACATGTGCATGTTCCGAAACCCATATTTCATACACATAACATTATACAAGATTTATCAACGCACAGAAAGCCACTCTGACCATATTTGTTTGACACATTTACCCAGAATTTATAATAGAATAGAATATAAAAGTTTGAATTTTTTATAGAATCATTATAATTTGAATAATTTGAATGACACTCCTCAAATTCTTCATAGATTTCGATACAATATGCTCTATATATGGTGTCAATTTCAATCCGATCAAAATATTTTTTCCCACTACAATCCATTCTATTTCACCAAACAAAACTGGTCATCATGACCCCAACAAGATTTACGTCTGCAAAATGTGAAACTGAGGCTGGGTATAGATTGACATACCATGAGGATCACATCTACATCAGCCAATGCAGTGAGGTTGGGGAATGTTTCATCTATTGTGTAATGGATCTTATATGTCAGGTCTCCTCCATAGGATGAAAGCTACAACAAAGTACAACATGGTACATTTTAAAAACAAAGCAGCACATGAATCGCTTTAAAAATCACCAAATATGATACATCTGCTTTTTTAACAGGAACAGTAGCAACAAACATTTGGCCAGTTATTGAGTTTCAGGCACAAACATAGAATACAGGCCAGTAGCCCCTTGGTAAAACCGCTCACCCATGTGAAAACTGGCTTGGGCCTGGAATACATTCTTACATAACATCATATTTACAACTGGGGAAAATTTCAAATAATAGTGTGAAGTTATATCTGTACATCAATTGGTCTTTCTCAGACTTACTGCAATGATTTACAGACATGTAACTAAATATAATATGTATGTATGAACAAGTTAAATTCTAACATTTCTACATGCAACATGTTATATACCTTGTTTCCTAGGTACTCTCTAGGGGCATGCCAGTAGAAGAGGCTTTTGTTCTGGACCGGTGTATTCACTAAGTCATCTTTGGTAAAATAAACATAGTCATCTGTCTTCCTGGGTATAGCATAGCCATCTCTGAACCCATCTGTCACAACCCAGCCACTCAACTTGTCTTCCTGAAAAAGGAAACATTTAACTTCATTAATAGTCATCTGTTAAATACTCTTAGGATAGTCACTTTTTAGATAAACACTGAACCTGACTGTGAGTGCAAAGTGTATAAATTCACCCCCTCCCACCCAAAGTTTATAAAGATTCATAATTTTGGGGAAAATATTTTTTCCAATTTCTGTACACACAACATCTGGACAGCTCAATAATTGTACACAATAAGCTCACTGTAGCAGATCTTACAATATCTGACTGTGGTAGAGGTTTCCTGATACCCTCCTTGAATCCTTGATGGACCAAAGATACTGGCTCTTTGTCTGTGTATATTTGTATAGATATGTGATAGAGCTTGTTTGACAACACAGAGTGGTCAGTGATATTCTACTTGACATATACATATCATCACTTTTAAAATTGATAGTGTGGTGAGACTGCATGTTTCCCATGTGTGGGTCATCTTCCAGAATTTGAACCAGTCTGTTTATGATTGTATCTTACCTTTCAGGGATTGATGTTGAAAATTTGAAGATCTCCCAAAAAATAATAAGCCCCTTTTAAAAAAGTGGGCTCCAATTTCCCCATAAATAAGGCTATTTTTCAAAGTCAATTTTCCAGAAAATGAGGCCTTTTTTCAAAAAATGAGGTTCCTCCCCCATCATTGCTTTAAAAGTGAAATAAAACAAACTTTCAATTGAAAATAAATTCATATCGGATTATAGAAACCTATAATGCTGTAAATGACAAGATTTGCTGGTGTGACTCCAAAATTTCACATGTTTTCTTAATATACAGTGCTATGCATACTTGAACATGACACAATGGGCAATACAAAAGGTCATTAAAGAACTCTGTTGCATAAGTATTAAAAGATCAACATGTGAATGAAGTCTAAAGACAAAAGTACAGCCATATGATATATTGAGTGCCAAAAAGATCTCAAAGAGACCATTTTCTCACCTTCCCTATATTTCAGCGAATGATGAAAAACATGTGCACCTAGTTTGCCTGTTCTGAGAGTTAGTGTTAGTTTCATATGATAAGGAAGTGAGGTGAAAATGACAGTGATGAACTCCATGTCTTATTAACCTTAATCTGGTCACCTTGCATGACAAACACACTCCAGTCTCTATAAACTATTTCTCCATGCTGAGAGTATTCTGTCTTACACAGTCTGGGCAGAAGCAATTTAATTAGGACATGGGGCAAAAATATGTATTTGAAGATTCCTTAAAAACATTGAAAAAATTGGGCACAATTTTTAGCATATTGTAGAAACTGAGGTACGAAATTGCTGCTTTTGTCCAAATGTGAAATAAATTTGGAGCCCATGCTCACCATAAAGGAGTGGCTTTTGGCCACTTAGGGTATCATGGTTTATGCTTGATTTGTTTGTATACACAGAGGGTATATTATCAACGTAACTTGCATGCTTGTTAAACAAGATGATATTTTCTGCAAATATGGCTTTAATTAGGTGATTCTTTCTGTAAGGGCTGGTTCCAATCTTGTTAACTATCATGCTTGGTGTCCCATCATCAAAAACAGATTTTGTTTAGTTTTTTCATAATGATGGTTCTAATAAGGTAGAAGTGATAAGCACGCTTTCAGCTCTCTAACAACTCACAGAGGTGTATAGTACCTAGAATATGCACAAACCTTTTGGACTGGTAAACAGGTGCTCACTCAGATTATAAAAATAATAGATAATTTAGAAAAATTAACTTTCAATTATTTCTTATTTCTAACAATTATTAATTTATCTGAACATATGAGTAATATGTACATTTAAAGGTAAAACTGTTTTTCAGCACTTTGTGTGAAGTTGGTGACATGTATTCAAACACAAAAGGTGAAATTCTTGTTATGAACAAGAACTTCTGAAGACATAATCTCTTACACATTGCAATGGTAACAATCATTCCATTGAAAGTATCCCATAATGCACTATTTAGTTGCAGAAGATTTATGGAGGGCTCTACAGGGTTTATGTCAGCCACCCTGTTGTATCTATCAAACATGGTTACTCTGACCACAAACTGTCAGCATCAATTCCATAGACAATAAATCAACATTTTCTACTGCTTGGTAGGCAGTATTTAGCTTAATAAAAACATTGGACTTATTTGTGCTAACTATACTTTACTATTTTATCCTTGAATGACCATTTTCCGTCTGCTACTGACTACACAGGTGTCTACAAAGGGAGGAACATTTCTCAGGGATATTTTACTTTGGTCAATTATTCAACAAGAAACACTCAATTTTTCCCTTTGAAAAATACTTGCCTTTTTGTTTGGCATTCTCTATGGTATTTTGCAATCTCTAGGCACAGAGCCTTTGAAGGTGGTATGCACCACACAGAATCTCTGGTAATTGGAAACATGATGAAAAATCACTAAAAACCTTGGATACAGCCAAAGCTAACAAAACTCAAATTTGGTGGCTTGTAAAAACAAATTAATAGAACTAGTATGCCAGTTATTTGAGATGATAATAGCCCACTAAGGGAGTATAAGGAACATCTGTAATCCACCAACCTTACATTTAATTCTCCAACCAATCCTACAACCTTACATTTAATAATATTTGGAACTTTTTTCCTCTCAAAAATATAACTTGTATCCATTTGCTATCACAACAGTATTAATTTATAGATATTGACAAAACTAAATATATTCTCAAAAATACTTTTAGAAATGAAGCAACTCCACTGAAAAGTTAAGATCAATTCTATAGATCTAAGATGAGAGCTGTGGTTTGGAGATTACTTTTTGTTATGGGAGATTGAATGACAAAATATTTAATGTATCAACATGGAGTATTACATCTGTGGTGGATTAACTAGCAAGAACATCTCTGTTAAACAGCATGAAATAGTAGGCCACCTTGTAAATAAAATTGAATATTTTTTTGTTATCACGATCGCTTCATTTTTCATCTTAATTAATTAACTGTCAACAGATTTTCTTTTACTTCTAATTTATGATCCCTACTTTAACTTGTTCATGCTTTTCCTGAATTTTTCATTCCTTTTTGAGGGAAAAATTGAAAATCAAAGCTATCATTCTTTGTTGGTTGAACAAGTCATGAAATGTGAGTGATAGAATAACACAGTGTAAGTTTATCTAAATTAAAATGTGGTGGTCACATTCTTCACTTTCATATTAGAGAAATACTCCCATGGCCATAACACTGGTCAAATAAACACAAATGTGAATTTAAGTTTCAAAACCTTGTATATTCTATATGGAACACATCAGTAACAGGAACACCTCCATAAGTGGAACATTTTTTCGGTCCAGTTACCCATTAGAGTTCATATAAAATGAACCTCTATAGGTGGAACACCTCTGAGAAAGAACACTATTTTTTGAGGTACCAAAGATGTTTTACCTGTTTAGCTAGATATTGATAAGCAATTTACATTATTTGAAATCTATCCGGATGGGGCCAATTGGATAGTTTTGAATTTGTCTGCATATGACATTATTGTGCACTGAAGCTTCAAGCTCCAAGATAATTCAATCTCAATGCCTTAATTCAATCTTTGAGATATCTTTTGTGTACTCAAGTATCAATTTCCAAGATAAGTCAGATCCTAAATTCAATCTTTGAGATGTCTTTGTGGACTGAAGTATCAAGCTCCAAGATAATTCAATCTCAGAGCCTTGATTCAATTGTGGAATGACAGAATCAACAAAACAACATTCACATGCTTCGACTATGAAAATTGACATGGTCCATTGGGCATTGTTCTTCCTAACATTGTTCAATAGAATAACACTTATTTAAAGAAATCAAATGAGTGCATACCTTGTCTTTTTGAAGATCAGACTCCGTGCATACATTAGTGATTCCAAAGCAAAAGCAAGCTGTACAACCATCAGGGTTTGAGGCATCTAGGTTGAAATATCCAGGGAGACATTTGTCACATTTTTCTCCATACACATTGGCCTAGAAAATATTGATAGGGGCATCATTTCATTGTATCACAAATCACTTTTTGTTTGTATAAATTCAATAAATGCAATAAATTGTGGATGTCATGATATTGTCATGGTTATTAAAGAATCTAATATCAAAACGAGGTAAGGGGGCTATATCGGGGTAATCGGGCAATATTAGTGTATATAGCCCTCTAACTTTTCCATTAGCTTCCATACAAATGCTTCGCTAGGTATGTAATTCTGTCAAATATGTAATTGATTGTAAAATCATATAACCGCAATAATAAAAAAAATAAGGAATGACTTAAAAATGGATATCAAGCATTTTACCTTGCATCTGCAAACACCATCACAAGTATCAAAATTGAGACTTCCTGCTCGGTTGCAGGGACATGGCTCACAGTTGGGGAATCCCCGAAATCCGGGAGCACAACGATCACAGCCTTTTCCTGCATACCCCTCCCGACAGATGCAATCTCCTGGGTTCTAAAATACATTGTAGACAAAGAATGTTTATTCTAAACATTTAAAAACAGTTTTATACTCTATACGCTTATTGAGAAAATATTCATAATGAGTGTATATAAAAATAAAGATAACACTAATCTGAATTTTACAGCTTATAAGATATTTCAATTCATAAAATTTGAAAGAGGGCATTGAAATGCAAAATGTCACCACCTGCCATTAGTTACAGACACTGACCACTGTAACATCAACTGCCGAACACAAACTGCCGAATACCATCCACTGGTGGTGGTGACATAAAAACTTGGATGACCTTGAACAGTTACATAAAACTTACCAGGCCTTCATTGATTCTGGTATCATCTTTGATGCATGATCCAGTGGAGCCCTCCATCGGACAGTTACATCTCCAGGCACATGCATCAGGGGAGCTCAGGGGCACCCTACTTGGGCGATAAAAACCATCCTTACACGTCTCACAGTTTGGACCATCAGTGTTGTGCTAGAACAAAATATATAAAACTCTCATTCTAAAATCCTACAATCGATATCCTCAAAAATTGGGATATATAGAGATATTATGAATGTGAGTCAGATATTGATAGATAATATATTTATTGGAGAAAGTCTTTTTGGCCATCCAATTCTATGTTATGCAATAATGAATAACAGCTGAGCATACAATCTATAGATAGGGATCATGAAAATGAATAATGGCCTCCAAATCATATCAAGATATAAGAGCCTCAAAAATATTATGTATCTGGTTTTGAAAGCTTGTATGCTTGTAAGGTAGAACATTTCAAGTTCCTATATTTTATGCAATGATATGAATTACTCACCTTACAGTTGAGGCACACGCCACCTCCCTCATACTCTCCTCTGATGTTAATACTACGCTTCTCTTCAGCAATTGTTGCATTGTATACGCACTCATCACTGTGACCATAGCAGTTACATTCTGCAAGAAAATGAAGAATAAAACAATTACAAGACAATATATTTTGCCAATTTCACATTTTCATTTTCCTAAATAAATCAAAAATATATCAATTATATCATTTTAAAAAAAATTCTAAACTGGTGAAATATCATATCAACTATCAATGAAAGAATAAATGGTCAGCCATGATAAAATAGTATGTATCAGATAATAAATACAGCATTGGTCCATGTTAAAATATTCTAATTAAACATTTTTCAAATACCATATATAAAAAAAATAACAAGGAAAATGGTCATCTTTCATGATATGCTCCTATTAAAATATATGTTTGGTATAGTTATAGTATGTGGTGATATAATACAAGTATGTGATGATCTCCAGTGTAAGACTACGAAATCACCATGTAAATGTGAGGCTGAATCGTCATCATCTAGCCACACTCACCGAAAGAACATTTTAAGGTTTGATGATGATAACATCTTAATAATCCCATATGAAGCTTTCATAGACTTTATAGGGGTTTAAAGAGAATGTGAATTGAATGTTTGTTAGTTAGTAGTAGAAAATCCAACAATTAGATACAAATATCAAAGGGAAGGGTACAATGCATTTCAGCAATATAATACATCTCCTAAAGGTTCAGAAGTTATTTACAGACATACTGTTTGTAGCATTACTGCAGGTAAACTGCAAATTGAAAAGATGAAAGCGCCATTTTGCACACCTGTACTACCTGTAGGTGGCATCTATCCAGGTATAAAGAAACAGAGAGATCAAAGAAGTGACCCTGAAGTGGAACATCATTGACTTACTTAGTTATGAACCAATGGCAATCGTGTGTAGAATCGAAGTGAATACATACTCTCAATTATTTTTCAGACCAGGTCTGATATGATGGTAAGATGGGTCAGTTTTTGAAAGAAACACCAGCAAAAGATGAGGACAATATAGGATTTTGATAAAGTACAATACATGCCATTATTGTTTTTAAGATGAATATCATATAAGGCAAATTTACTAAACCATCGAAAATGGCTTTTGAACTATAAGATATGGGTCCACATCAGATGGTGAACAGATTTTTGTTACTTGATTCAAAACTCGGCTGATAGTAGCAATGGCAGATCAGTTGTTTTAATTTAGTTTAGGTTCAAAACTAAACAATTAAAACAAGAACATTCCATGATCTCCATTCTGATTTTAATTCACTTATTGTATAAATATCTGGGCTACTCTCGTTAATGAATATATCATATCCACTCATGAATAAAAATCATTTGACTCAAAAATCTTAAGATAATACATGCATATCCTATGCTGATGGGATAACCTTGCTGTAAGCTCTATTAGTCTCTATAGTCTCAGTCAGATAAACTTATCAGGCCATTTGTGATGAAAGAGCCGTTATCATCTGTTTCAGCAAGTTCTCTAAGGAAGCATGAAGCTTGTGTTATGGTCACTGAGTCTAACCATTGATCAATAATGTAATGTTATTCAGTCCAAAACATTTTGTAACAATTCCAATATGTAAGAAGACGGATAGAAATTCCTGAATCAAGACTTCCTGGAGTATTATTTCCAAGACATTACAGAATAACACTGTACTTATTTATATTGGTACCTTGATATTTGTGAGGGTTTATTCATACAGAAAGAGAAACCCTCTTTCAAACCTAGAATGTACCATTGAATATTAGAGGGGGTGGGGGTTTTACCCATTTCCTCCAAACCTAACCAGAGTAATGTTTTCTGCCTTCCCAAAGGTGAAAAAGATATTTATTGAAAAAGGGATGTTCATAATAATTACTTCCTTTCAACATTTAAACCAAGAATTTTGAGGGGATTTAGCTGATTTCCCCAAGGTCTAATACCTGTCCCCCAAAAGATAAACTTTACAAAATTGTATTTTCATTTGACTCATCCAATATTCTCAAAAAAGGCAATGTGTACCTAATAATATGATGTATATTAAGTAAGTGGTTGAACCAGAATTCAGATAACTTCTCCAGCTCTTGGCAATGTTTGTTTTGAATTATAAACAATAGAATATCGCTTAATGCAGGGTTCTAAACCTCATAAGTAAACATAAAACACCTTATGATAGAGAAAACCATTTTACTTGTATTTTTCAAAATAAATTCCTTTGAAAATCTCATCATTAAGTGGTTACATCAAATTTATTTTTAGATGGCTGTTGAAAACAAGACTTGAACATATGAAATGAGAACAGCTATATTTCTTATATGATGACCCCATTAACATCCATGTTATACCAATATGCGACAACGTAATATTTATTTGAGAACTGGAAGCAAATAACAAAACAACAACTCTCCAGAAAACACAATATACAAGAACATGTACAACACATTCTGATTTATCAGAGTCCCTCTTTACCTAACGCTTTTGAGACTATTCCAAAGGGATAGTAAAGGCTGTGGATCTCATAATGTGTACTACAGAGTCACAAGATGACATAAGATGTTTTAAGACAAATGTGAATCTATGACTTTTAATCTGATATGATTAAAGTTACTTATTTGTACTGCATTACACTTAAACATTTGTTCTACTTAAACTTAAAAAGTGGTAAAAAGGGCCAAAATTAAAATCTTTCAGTAATATGTGAGTTTATATCCCACCAAAATCTGGTGAATCTATTATGTTAGATCAAGGAAGATGTGGCATACAATTTACCTGGTAAATGCATCAGAAAGAAAACCTTAATTCTGAATACTAATTTGTTACAAGCTAAAGCTTAGTTGCAATTGCTACCCTCTTAAGATGGCAAATAGATATAGTTTTGATGCGATAAGATAATGGCAATTAAGATGTTTTTCAAAAATGAGTATCAAACTAATAGAAAGGGTAATACAAGCTGCACACTTACAGAAACCTATATAAATATCTGGGAGTATATCAAATCATATGGTTTATTTATGCAAGAGAAGGGATTAGAATAATGTATCAACACCACTTACAAGGGAATTCAATTTCAACAGATACTTACCCCTCAAACTTTAATTCGTTGTTTTATAAACAATGTGCATTCATCTTACAGAGGAATACCCAAGAGTGATTCTCTCTGTTAAATCCAAATACAGTGGCACTTTCTCAAGGTTAGTAGTAGGAATTTGAAGGGTGCCAACCCTTGACTTATTTCACACAGGAGTGCAAATATAGAAAGATCTTATCAGTACTATTAAGTGCTTAAAACTGTTATTCTAATCCTCTTTGCAAGATCTCAACTTCATCTACACTCTTTAATTTAGAGATGATTCTTTGATCAAGCTATATCCAATCAGACTGTGTAGTCATTAAATAACAAGACTACATTTTGTCATATAGACATTACACCCATGGCTATGGATGATCCATGTGAGTTCATTAAGATTGTATGATTATGATCAAAACTGAAAAAATCAGTCGTAATAGTCAGAGGAAAGAGTAAATTTTTCAAGGGAAATAGACACAATGGCAATTCTATTTCTAACCCGATATGTTAACTTTTTAGTACAAGACTTTGTAGTAGGATTGTATATAGTGGGTTCTGTTGTAGATTCGGTGATTGATGGGGAGGTAAGGTAAACTCTCAGGGGGAGATCTTGTTGCCTAATAACAAGCTTGCTTATTGCCCCATACATCTGGTTATTAAAACATCATGTCTCTATAGCCTATACCTAAAACAATGTAGCCATGGATTGGTGATCTCATTGGTATGGTAAAATGGAGCTGAACGCAAAAAAAATCTGAAAATTACCTTCGAATCCAAAATATGAGAATTCATTGGTGCCCAGTTGAGGATTTTTAGGTAATTCATGAACAATTAGGATTTGACTAGTTTTGGGCATTCATTAGGGAGGGACCATGTCAATATTTCAATGTTATCCTAAAACATAAATATACATTTCAGATAAACCCCCCTCCTCCTGAAAAATATGATTGAAGATGTATGCAATTTCAAAAAATGTAATTTTATCATATCCCCTCCCTCCTTGTATTATAATTATTATGAACTACATTGATATCTGACCTGTTCCTTTAATCAGAGTTCATCAGAAAAGTGATTTGGAAGACAATGGAAGAACACTGTAATCTTCCAGCACCAGCGAGTAAAATTAAAACTGGTAAAGTTAAGACAAAAAGTCATGATTGATATTTTGAAAGTTTCCAATGGTCACAATCCTTGTAGGATGAGACTAACCTTGTGACCTAGAAATAACATCTTACACTTTAAAAATAAACAGGGGTAACAAAAAGAGTAGAAAAAGTGATTGGTTTGCTTTGTGCTGAAAAATGATGCATTTAATCATAAAAAGTATTTGTAAATGCCAAGATCTTCTCCAGTATGTTATTAACTTTGACCTTCCATTCTTCCCTTCTACTATGACATCATTTATCAACTTGAGATATGTAAAACTTTAGTAGTTCTTTCATATACAGTCTACCTGTGATACAGTAAAGTGAATTTTCGCTCTATAATTAGGCAAGGTGTGATATCAAACCAGAAAGATAGGTCCTAAAAAGGATGATAAAAATGATTTGTTAGAAAGTGACATGATAACTTAAGATTTATAGCTCTGGTATGTATTATACATGTACTTGCAGGGTACATGTTACCAGTAAGTACATGTGGAAGTGTATAATTCAATATTTTTAAGACCATGTGTATGGTCTCGTATCAAGTCTCTGGACCCAGGCCCGTAGCCAGGGGGGGGGGTTCGGGGGGTTCGGGCGAACCCCCCCCCTGGCCAAAATCTCTTTCAAAATCATGCAGTTTTTCACCATTCTGACTATTTTTTGAGTGATTTTTGGCCAAATTTGCCAAAGTGAACCCCCCCCTAGAATTTTTTGGAAAAGTGAACCCCCCCTTGGAAAATTCTGGCTACAAACCTGGGACCTCTATACCCAATATACTTAATGTACTTTTTTTTGGGGGGGGGGGTTGCACAAGGGCTCCAAAGACTAAGATGTGCAGTATAATTTGTGTGTTAATAGGGTTGAAAAATCATATAACGATGATGGTCTTACCTACAGTTTAAAATGAGAACTGTGTGAATAAATATATGTATGTATGGATGAATAGACAGATACATAAGTAGGTGATTGCCTTAAAATAGCCAGCAAAAATATAAATGGTACTCTGTAAAGCTGCAATTTTGGAGCTATAGAAAGCTGCAATTCTAGAGCTGTAGAAAACTGCAATTTTGAAGCTATAGAAAGCTGCAATTTTGGAGCTATAAAGTTGGCATAACCTGCACCTCCTAGTAGATCAAGTACCAGTGAAGGCTTCCCCTACATCTATCAACAAGGCTTTCAAGAAAAAGATCAGGTTCAATGAAAAAACAAAATATCTCAGTGTTTCTCAGAGATGAGGTAATTTCCTGCTGATGTTTTCACCAGCAAAACAGAACTGAGTTTCTATGGTGAAAGATAGCTGTAGATCTCACATAGTGTAATGAGAAATACAGGTCCAGATCAGGATTAACTAACCTGTTGATTTGGGTCAATTCTTGATAAAATAAACTAACACTTTAGTGAACTGTATTATGTTAATACTTGATAACTCAACTAAAATTAAATGTAGTCCAATACAAGTACAGTAAAACCTGTGTATATTGAACATTTTTTGCTGAGAAAAAATATAGAGTGTTGGTAGGTGTTCAGTCACTATGGAAAACGTAATTTATACAGAAGTAAGTAAAGTATGTGAAGAGGAAGGGTGTCTACTAAAGATAGGTGTTCACCAAGACAGGTTTTACTGTAGTCTCATTATATTCATCCACGTTAACTAAGTTATAAATGGTTAATAATATTGATGGCATTTCAAGCTACTTTTTATTACCCATATCAGATCTCAATAATGTGCCCATCGATGAAATTGATAACAAGAACATGGTATTTGAAAACATGTACAGTATCCACTTATTGACAGAAATCCAAAGGGGTGGTATAATAAAGAATGATTATACAGTGGATTGTTCCAACCAATATGATGCACAATGATATTTCAATAGGGTTGAACACCTTTCTTAAAGTTACTAGCTTGTGTTTTAGATCACTTTTGAAAACAAATACATACAAGCATTGTGGGATCCACAGCCTTTACTATCCTTTTGGAATAGTTCAGACTGTGGGTTACTGACTGTAATAAATGTTTCCTTTAACCCTAAAATGTACGGACCAATCAAATTATTTACAGAGTTCTATTGACCATAAGTATCATGGGAAGGCATTACCTGCAGTTGCATGATTACATAAGCAGACAAAGCCTAATGAGTGTGACCCAAACACAATTCCCTCCCAAATAATCCAAGTGTTGATATTTGCATGATAATTATTGTTTAAAATTCTAAATTGGAAAACAATAAGAAAAAAGAAGTATGTCAACATTATCATTGTTATTAATTTTCAATATAAAAACAAGAACCATCAAGATAAATAAAAGTTTTCCACATAATGAATTCATTGAATTAAAGTTTACAAAGGGGAAAACAGGACGGTGCATTCTTAGGCACTAATTTATTCCTCCATATACACTGATTTACTTGGAGAATGCACTGGCTAGGAACATGTTCTGCCTCATGATATATCAGAGTCTCTCAAAAGCGTTAGGTAAAGAGAGACTCTGATAAATCAGAATGACATACAAGGGATTAACCTGCAAAATGTTACCACCTGCTATTTGTTAAAGATGCCAACCGCTGAACACCGACCACCAAACACCAACCACTGAACACCATCCGCAAAACTGTTGGAGACTTAAACAATTTGTGGTGACATAATCCTCATACAATCCCAACAAAACATTTTTCATCATTTCTGATTACCAGTATGGATGTAAGGAGCCTCTGTCCATTCCTGTTAGACTCTAACTCACTCAATAACTCACCCATGTGCAGTTTAGAGCTACAGATTCTGAGTCAAAATACTGATTTCAAAACAGTTTTAGAACATGTCTGATAATCGCCAGGGAGAAAATAACCAGTTTTCAAAAGTTATCATAGCCACATTTTCCATAAATCTCATTAGGCCCAACATTATTAGATTAAAGCCATATATTTAGTGGCACTTGACAATATTGGGAACACATGAAGCCAGTCCCAGGGGCATACACACTGCACATGTCATATCATAGTTATTTCCAGGTTACATGTGGGAAAAGGCCAGACAATTTTTGGAAATGTTTACTTTTACACTATTTCTTTGAAAATATGAGCCCAATAATTGAGGCCCATTTTTAGAAAAGGTAAGCCATGAATGGTCATTTTTGACCTAAAATGAAAAAGAATCCGGACATTACCAGACTACCCCAGCCAGAATATACCCCAACAGCAGTGAAAATCCAAATGGTTCTTACCTTCACATACAAAGCTGTCCTCTGCACTACCTTGTTGCCATGGTTTCTGGTTGAATTTAGGGCAACATTTCTCACAACTGTCTCCACATGTATTGTGTTCACACCTGCACCTTAGGGTCTAAAACAGAAAAGTACATTGCTTTAATTCAGTGTTTAATTTGGGAATACATGTATACCCAGGTAAGTAGATTTTTTGTAATTTACATTTCTGTTTTCCTCAAATCAGCCAGATGGAACCAGAAATTGCTTATCAATATGTCTGCTGCATTTCAAATTTCACGTTTCCGTCCATGTCTGTTTTCAAGTCTTTGTTATGACAGATTCCTAAAAATGTCTGATATGAGTGTAAAATAAAATAAATAAAGATACAAGACAGTATTTGTAATGGTCATGAAAATATTTAAGATTGCGTTGAGAATTAAAAATTGGCAAGAGGTCCAATTTTTTTCACATGGAGCCTATTTTGAGAATTTTAAACATGAGGCCTAGTTTATTTGAAAATTGGATCCAAATAGGCCCTAAATGAAGAAAATCCCCCCCCCCTCTACAACTGGAGGTAGATACTTGATACAATCCATACTAGGCATTTGTTTGCTTGTTTCACACCACTGGAACACATATACTAAAGTTTCTCCCTTTACTTTATTGTAATTGTTCACAGGATCAAAGATTCTATGTTTGACGTGTTTCATTTCTGTCAATGCTCCACAAATGAAAGAACAAATGGTTACATATGGGTAATATAAACAACCCGGATGCCTAAAGCAATTATTAAGCCAAATAAACAGTGAGAATGCTTGATCCCAACTTTCACACCTTTGAAATCTTAGACAATGGTATAAATTACAAAAGAATACATAATGATGAAGTCATGAGGATTTCCTAGATTTTCTGTTTTTAATCAGTTTTTCAAACCTAGCAAACTTAAACAAATGAATAAGAATTATATGTCATTTTTTAATATTTATACTACCACCAAAGTAATGAATATTACAAATATCTATTTAAAAACATGCATTATCTCTAGGCTGTCTGCAAAAGCTTATACACTGACATTTCTTTGCAATGAAGAGTATTTAAAATCTGACAAAACTCATGTCAAATCCAGGGTAAAAATGACACTAGTTTGACCAGATTATTAATACAATGGATGATACGTCTCTCACCCCAAAGGAAGATAAAACACACACTGACATCCGCAATAATCAATTTATCCTGATACATAACAATAATCTCAGATAAGAATATCCCATTATAATTGCTGACAGTGATATTTCAAAACAATTCATCCACATTACCCGTGTATAGCAACAATTCCCACTCACTCTTTACTACTATATTACCAACAAGACACATTATGAACAATATCACACCCAGGGGGGGAGATTTCCCAAAGATGCCCTATCATATTAGTATGTTCGAAAACAAATTTTATAAACAGGCCTCAATTTGCCGTTGAAATGGATCTTCAAATGTTCACTGTAGTTTTATGAGTATTCTCTACAAGTATGGATCGAGTAACTTCGATAGTATTACCGTAGGTTTGAAATGACGATGTTGAACTGATGTAAACGCCATTCTCACGATTTCAAATTTAACTCTGCGCATGCGCAGCACTGAGAGAGCATGTGCCCATGATTGTTCACGTGATCGAATCCTGCAATTTGATTGGAGATGATGCAAGAGATGATGTAATGGGGAATCCCCGAATATGATAGAATATGAAAGAATTATGGGAGCTACTCACTCCTCCTGATCACACCTGAAAATCAAGAATGGCTGCCTGAAAATTACCCAGCATGCCCAAAATCGAATTCATTATACATAACCATACCAAGAAAAAACCTTAAAAGTTTTAAATCAATCCATCAAACAAATTATCTGGAAATATGCAGACATGAAAGTTAGACACTGCCCATCTGAAAACCAATCTGACGATAATATTGCGACTTTTTGGGAATATTGTGACTTTTTGGGAATACATATACTGTGACTTTTATTGGGAATGATAAAACCCATGAACTTGTAGAGTCAATTTGTGGTGCTTTCTATTCTATTGAACACAAAATAGTAAAATGACATTTCAATTTTGAGGGTAGTTAAATATAGTGTACAATCCCATGAGCTCAAGATAACAATTCATTAATCTTTCCACACCACATGTTAATGAATCCTAAAATATGCCAGCAATTAGTAAAGTATGTCATGTTGCTGATGTTACATACAGGCTGCTAATTACTCTGTATAGTAAACCAGCCTGCAATAATTTGCTCTAATTGCGAGTAATAGCTGGAACTAGACAGTCAATCTGTTACCCTGAGCATTGTGGTTGGTATACTAAAAGTACCCTCTGACTTTTGTATGATCATAAACAGTTTGGCATTTTTGGTATTCAATCAATTAAAGAGCTCCCTGAAGCCACACAACAGAATGACACAATTCACTAATATAGGGAACAAACTCTAATTTTGGTTTACCAGTTCAAAGGTTTTTATTCATACAATAAGAGTTGGTCACTCTGGGTATGGGTCTGGTAAAGGGTAGTTTTTGTAAGAGACTAGAACATGGAACAGGTTGCAACCTTCAACTTCCAAGACCTTACTGCTATTATATAAACACAAACATGAACTTGGAGTAAGATTTGTACTACAGGTGATGTGCAGTATGTCATTCTGAATGCTAGGGATATGTCAATTTGCTTGATAAAATGACTACTCATTGTTAAAGTTAGGATCCACTCTCAGGCCTGTCAACTGTCCCGCAATTTGCGTATTTGTCACGCCAGTTATTTTTGCGTGACAGAAAATGTCACGCAAATACGCATTTTACCTGGTAATTGTCAAGCAAAAATATTTTTGTAGAAAAATTTCTAAAAAAAATCGTCTACACAGCAAAAATACGAACGCTGGAAAAAAACGTACGCATTTCGTTCGGACTTTTCACGCGAATTACGTATATGTCACGCATTCCGTTCGAAATTTTTCGTTCCTCCCCCCCCCCGTTGATGGATGTTTTAAACGCGAGCGTAGCGAGCGCGAAAAATTTGAGGTGTTTACAATTTGGCATGATGTAATAAAATTTAAACCAAGGTGTTCAAAATTTGGATCAAGGTGTTCACATTTGGACCAAGGTGTCCACATTTTGAGGGGAGGTGTTCAACATTTCCAAGTCACTCATGTTAGGTGTTCCCAAGTTGACAGGCCTGCACTCTCTACATCTTGGGATAAATGCCATGTATGATGCTAATGTTGTAACATTTCAATTATTCTAATGTCTCCCAAAAGAGAAGATGGTCAACATGTTTCACATATACAGATTATACTTGAGGGAAACTGTGCAGTAGTGACCATAAAAGTATTGCAAAGGGAGGGTGAAGTTCAGGAAGGGGGGGGGGGACAATCCAGATTATAATGAGAAAATGATCATGTTACATCATCTAAGCAAATGTGTAGAATAATTAGGGTGGTAATTAGGAAGGTATGCCTGTGTTCTATCACACACTACCCTTCACAAGACCTCTTCTTCACTCTTAAATAGAGATGATTCTTTATCTATCATACACCCAATTGGAAAATCACTCCATCACATTTTCTGCCTGTATGTACATGGCATTCGCTGCACTACCACTCTCATTATGGACAAATAAAAGACAAAATCATTTGTATTGTCAGAGGGGTAGCTGGTGGTGATATCCAGGGTAAGTAGACTGTATGGACTCAAGGGGGCCTTAGAGAGGGTGTCAATGTGACAATTAGATAAGAAAGAGTTGAAACAATATCAGGTGGCAGACTCTCTGAGTTCAAGAGCTCTGGATTTAAAGTTTTTCCCATGACTCATGTCAAGTGAATCATAGGTGTTGTTTTCTTCTAATAATCTAAGATTAGCAAGTAATTGTTTAAGCAGGCTTAAGAATCCCAAATCAAATTCATGTAAGAATTGAACATTTTAATTTTGGTCTGTACAAGTCTGACCCCCCCCTCCTCCTCTCTAAATATATATTTCTGACTACATATGAGTTTGAGGTGGAGAATGGTACGAGAGTTGAGCATAAGACAAGCATAAGTTCAAAATATTTTCAGTTTAACTTACCCCTGTCCTTTGATCAACAGGACATTCCTCAGCATGACCAAAACATATACACTGTCCTCCAATCGAGATATCCTTGATGGAGTAAAAATACTGGAAAGAAAAACAAATCATCAAGATCTGATACAAAAATATGATTAGTAATATGAAATGTAAACAAATGAAATTGAGACCAGATAAAAATTTTAATCTGTTTACAAATAATTGTACCCTAAAACAACATTTCAAGGTACATTGGATAAGTATTGTTCAGATACATAACCAAGAAGGGATGATGGTTTGCCAAATTAACTTTGTTTAAACTTTGGCTGAACTTATACTATCAATTTTACATTTGGAGTGTGGGAAAATGTTAAATTCCATAAATCCAAATACAATATGTATTTATACAATGTGTACAATCAGTACGCCAATACTGGTTCTACTTACTCTTCTGGTTACAGATGGGTCAATAGAGGCAGGATCACTCGTTACTATTGTCATCAGATCCGCATTCAATGTCCTGATCCGCTGTAGCCTCAATCTGATGAAACGGGCAGCAGTAAATTCCTGAAAAAATTTCAAGTAGCTGCTTCTTAAGTATATCTATAATATTGAATAAAAATAAATAAAATGGCACTATTCATTAAGCTATTGCAAATGGTTACAAAAGTGTAACAATTGTTACAGATATTGACCACTAATATTGTATTGTTGTATTGTATTTGATTGATTTAAATATTTAAAGTATAAACTTATAAGAGCCTTATGGGCCATCATACATGCTTACACACAATAACATTTCCCATGCAAATCATAGAATGGGGGCTAGAGTACATTTTCAAGTGCAAAATCATTAGACTTGATTCATTTCAATATCACAATACAGTGGAAATAAATGTGAAGAACCTGTTCAGGGCTTAATAGAACAACTCCAGGATATTTTCCAAGGTTTTGTCTTGTCAAATGTATAGCTCCATTAATTCACAATATTTGGCACTCAAAATGAAATAACTGTTGTTGAGGGTGATGTGCTATCAATAAAGCGCCTCTCTAATGAATGTGTCTCATTCCAAAAGCCAAGTAGGTTCTTGTCATGTTCAACTGACCATTTTCTTTTGTAATTTCCAATCTCTATTAAAAACCATTTCAAAACCAGTATCAATTATGATAACAATTTTGCTTTGAACTGACTCTATGGAAATAACTCCAATGAAAATACATCAGTTATAAAAATAGCACATTTAAAACGAATACCGATAAAAGTTTAGGTAAAATGAAAATTAACTGAACCAGAAAATTGAACTTATCTATGTGATGATCAAATAAAAATGTATAAAAAACGACAAGGGGCAATATTACAAAACATTAACTCAGGAGTTGATGGTTAATTCTAACAATGGACCTCCAAGTTTGAAACATGTAGCTAATTTTCTGGGCATTAATTTTGTACCTGTGGCTGTACCACTGGGAATACAGGGTGGTAACAGAGTCATAGGGCAGACAGGTAAAACACACAATATAATTTGATTACAGGCTGGGGGAATTAATGGAGTGTAAAATTATTGAGTTGGATGGCCATTTTTAGTTCAAAGAGATCCTTCTTTTGTCATCATACATGTTTATGGGCTATGGGACACTGAACCATATCTTTCATCTGGAACCAAAGATTTAAATGTTTCCAGTATAGAAGAGATGATCTTATACTTTTTGATTTTTGATTTTAGATAAAGAAAATACTGTATATATTATACTGGTAAAAGATTATACTGGTGAAAAGAGTGATTCATCTATCTTATCTATAATATGTGTGAAATATAATGAAAAGGTGATGGTGGGTATACAGCTAAGTTGAAAGGGAAGAAATATGAAAAGAAAGCTAACAGTAAACTGATGAACAACCAAGATCCTTTTCCTAAAGAATTTTTACTCATAGCCTTCACAGTTTGCCTAAAATTAGAGTAAAACGAGCAAGCAAAAAAGTACAGGAAATTAATTGAAAAGCTGAATGAAAAAATGAAGCTGGATAAAAAGCAATATACACAAAGGATCAAATAGATCAGAAGGGCGATTAGCTTTTGAACTATTGTAAGCCTAAACCAAATATTGAAATGTTGAAACAAATATACGTGTTGTAAAAACTAAACAAAATCTGATAGATTCTAGTTTTCTTGTTAATAGATCATGCGGTTTGCCAAAATTTCATTCATACTTTTTTTGTAGTACAAACTGAAGTAAGAGCATGTAAAGTTCAAGGTTTTACAACTATGTGGTTAGCTTTAAGGCTGATTACTGTGAAATTAAATGAATTCTTATTTCATATGTTTTGTACGTTTGAAGGGACATTTGATGGTAATACTGGAAAAATAAAGTTTTGATTTTTTCCCCTATTTGACACTAACTTTGAATGACACTGATTGAAGACTATAGCCCTGCATGAGACTGACAGAAACACTCTAAATCAAAACACTTTGGCATTTATTGGCAGGTGGCCCATAAAACCCATTATACCCCACCCCAATATGGTCCATCGCACCCTGGCACAAAACCCACAATTTAGCAGGCCACCTATGTACATTTAAAAACTGATTTGACTTTAATTCAGAAGATAAACCATGTTCAAAATTAAACAACACAGATCTGATACATTTGTATCAAATGATAAATTAACCCCATCAATTACAATACTATATTCTTTTCGATACATATTTTTGACAGGTTTTTAGTGTGATTTATAGGACCAATATCTTAATTATAAATCTTTGTGATAGCTTTATGGTAAGTAAAGTTCAACTCCCAAATATTTATGAATATGTAAAGTAAAACATTGTAGTTTGGCCAGCATTTATGTCATTACTATAGTATAGTAATGTACTTAGGTAATAATACATCGTCAAATGGGGAGAATAGCCAAAATAATTTTGTGTTCTTAAAAGAATGATATTTTTCTGTATGTTCAGTTTAATCATAGATATCCTTTTATACCTTAGTTTGGGATAGCTCCATACTTTAACCTTTACACTAAACAATAATATACACTGACAGACATCTCTAAAATAGCACAAACTCTAAACAAGCATAGGTCAGAAAACTAACATATCTATTATCTACAATTACTTTGATAAAACGGCTGTTCACAACATTTCATTATTTACAGACCCTTTTATTGAGTGGTTTCTGAAGCCAATACAAGTCAAAGATGAAAGGCAATATATATAAGACAATATTAATAAAACAGGCAGTTGACCTTGTAAAGTGGGGTTAGATATATAAAACCAAGATTTCATTCAGACCTGGACTAATATGTGGAAGTATTCAAGACAACTTTATTAACATTTTGTCTCTTTAAGGGAATGACTTCAGTTTAACTACCAGTATTCAAAACTAAAGTCAAATTAATATTATAATTTGATCAAAGTCAACCTGATATTAATATAATATGAGGAGCATTCTCTTATGTTACACCATTGTTTGGGTATGGATGTTGCACCATTGTTTGGGTATGGATGTTGCACCATTGTTTGGGTATGAATGTAACAGCATTCTTTGTATATGGATGTTGCACCATTGTTTGGGTATGGATGTTACACCATTGTAGGGATATGGATGTTGGGGTATTGAAGGGGTAGAGCTATACAAACCTTCAGAGTAGTGCTTCCAGCGATTCCCGGCCTCCCGTTGATGAGTGATGTAAAAATCTGAAATAAACGAAAAAACATCAATATCCATTTAGAAAATTAATAGGCAAGACCTCTTGGAGGTGAAAATTATATTTTTATCTACAGCCTCTGTGAGATTCTATGAGAAGAATAATTGTTTTGACAGTTGACCAGTTGTGTTGAGTTACTTGAAAGAGAAAAGCATGGCGCACATACAACAGAGCAGAAAAACAGTGCATTTATTTTATATCATCCATCCATCAACTCAAGTATAGTACCACTCTTGAGTTTTAGTCTATTTCTTCAAATCTAATCCATAATGATGATAGCATGGTCAAGACAATTTTTGTATTCTTTATACATTAGTATAATATATTTATAAGATTAGGATTACCATAATTCACAGTAAAATTTCTTCAAGATCACATTAATAAAAAGTAGGAATCAGGATTACTTTATACAAAGGAATCCAAGTAAGGTGTATGCTCTGTAAGAAATCAAGTTTAATTTGTTTTTATTTCTTCAGCGGTTTTTCCCAGAGTAATTAGCCTGGCCGGGAAACAAAGATTTTCTAGAAAGTGCAAGTTCAACAACATTGGTTTTTTGTGGCTATATTTAGGAATGTTTGTATTCTGTGGTTAGTGGTGAGTACTTCCTGATAACCTGGATTAATTGTGGCTTCCCGCACACCAGGTACACTCCAGGAAGGTGAATGAGCTACAGAGGCCTAATTGGGCCATAATAATACCCCAAAACAATTATAAAATCATGTCCTTCATTTCACTATTAACTCTTGTATGTATATAGATTTTAAAATATGTAACTTGAGTATCAATTTTGTCCATTTAAAGATAATAGCTTCCTTAAAACTCATCTGACATTGAATTAAAGGGGCAACAAGGACTGTAGAGAGAAAACTTGAATTTTTTTTTTCTGAGCTATCAGGTCAATATTTGGCTTAACATCTTCTTTGACATACCTATTTTCTTAAAATGTATGGATAAACTATCAATTTCACCATTAAGAAGAGTAAATTCAGTTCAAAGCTTCTATAAATATATTTTGACACTGGTCGATGATCATTGCACTAATTGTTGCACCTTTAAGTCACTTTCAGTAATTCAAAAATAAAGAACACATACCTCGCCATTTTCCAATGGATCTAGTTTAGAATAATATGACGTGCAGATGACTTCATCGTCTTTGGTAAAAATAGGTGTGCCGATTGTTGGTTTAATTCCATAAGCATTCCAGCATTCGCTGTCACTTAAAGCATAATATTGCCATGGTTTGTACTCTATGCCATCTAGTGAGCGCTCTAAGATCCAGTTTCCGGGCCTCGGAGAATTGGCAGCTTTGACTATGATATATGCCACTTGGTAAATCTGAAAAAACAATGCAAATCAACATTAAAATTGATGCTGTATTTTGAAGTTGGAAGCCCATATAGAAAGGGGGTAAGTAGAGTTCAGCCTGACCAAACATTTCATGTGAGATTTTGTTAAATGATGCTATTAGGGGGGGGGGGGGGGTATATAGCAGGTGCTACATTAAAGCATATAAGGAAAGATGAATGCAGATATCTTTACCTAGGAACTGCAGTAAGTTGAAACATGAAAATAAGAACATTTTGGCCATTTTCTACAGCCTGTACTATCCCTTGGAATACACAAGTATTGATAAGGAAAGGCTCTGATAAATCAGAAAGGTGAATCAGAATTTACCAAGTTGAAAAAGTGGAAAAATCCCGAGTCTCTTCCACAAATTGAAAAACAAAACTGTTACAGATGTTGGTTCTATTTTGCTCTGGGATGTAACAGGTGCCAACAGCTTTTATCTAAACATTATATGAGACTATCAGATACTAAATGACAGCTTCAGTTATATCTTCTTATATCATAGTACATGTATATAAATGTTTGTTACATGTGTAACATGTGCTACACTATCAATCCCTAACAATATTTAATATTCCATACAAGGCATTGAAATGCAAAATGTCACCGCCTACCATTCGTTACAGGCACGCTGCTTGCTGACCATTGAACACCATTAACAAAAAGTTGTCACCACTTGCGGTGGTAACATAAAAACTAGACTGAATAAGTGAATATTTTGGAAATGCCTTCTTTTTGAGGACTACAGGCCTAAATATCCATATTCACTGATTCTAGTTATGCATACAGTGCAGCCAAAAATCAAACAGGTTATTTTGCCTACTGATGAATAAATACCCAGACTTTTATCTAGTTAACTTCCCGGGTCATTAACTTGGGATAGCATGACACTTATATAATGTCATGTTTGGAAAAGACCAGGGTCTGGGGAATCTCAGTACTTCAATAGTTCTATTACTCAATGATACCATAGATATGAAGAAACAATTAGAAAAAAAGGTTAGCATGACTCTAGTCTGTGATGCTGTTTGATTTCAGAGTTACCCAGGTAGCCTTGCATCAATTGCACCTTGAATGTACCCAAGGCCAGGGGGGGGGTTCGCAGTTCTATCAAAATCATGCAGTTTTTCACCATTTTGAGCACTTCTCAAGTGATTTTCAGCATATTTGGTCCAAAATTGTCAAATGTGAACCCCCCTGGAAATTTTTGAAAATTGAACCTCCCTTGGCAAATCCTGGCTACGGGCCTGTACCCCCTCATATCCCCACTCTGTCAAGACTGGAATACTCTGATACAAATATTCTGTTGGAGTATGAAGACATCATAGGACTGGTCGTATATAGTTTAATTTCACTAATTCAAGCCCAGATTTAGTCTGTGATCCCCATCCCACTACTTCACTACACACCTTCTCACTTGTAAGGAGGTGTCTAGTAGGTAGGGGACTTACAAGGGCTAGTAGCTAGACTAGCCCAGATTGAAATGACCACTATGAAAGATGGACTAATTATCAGTAATTATTCAACTCATTAAAAAAACGAATAAAACTTCTAAACAACATGTGGCAAAGTATTTCATTCAATGTACTGTATATTTAAAGGTTTATAATTTGTACTATTTAATGGTTGTAATATCTCAGATAACTGAATAAAGTGCTCAAACATTAGGTCCCATTATCATTTATCATTCTAAACAATGTCTATGTTCTTTAACTTCAAAAAATGTTGATATGTTTATATGGTGCAAAAAGGGTGCTATTGAGTTTTACCAGTGATGGGATAGAAATATAATTAATCAACTTGGCACATGTGAACATTTTACAATTACTATATATAGTCTAGCTATTAAAGAAGGGCTTATATGGTCTGATTAATTGAGAATAGTTAAAGTGCATACAGAACTGCTCCCCCTGTGAATGTTGTATTTTATACCTGAGAAAATTATTTTGAAAAACCATAGTACATAATTATAATTTACCTATATGGAGCCATACATTAAAATTATTAATGTGCTGTTTTTAGATTAGCTTGTGTTTTATAAATAAATATAAATAGTTCTGTATTATACAATTTATTCTAACTTATTTCTTTTAACATTGATATTATACAGATTCAAGCCTGCAATTTTTTTTCATTCATTTTCGAAACGTAATAATGTTATAAAAATCAAGAATGTCTCATGCCATTGGTATGAAACTAACGTTTCAATATATGCATTACAAACATGTGACCTAAAATTTAGAAATGAAAGTATCATCATTGTTTTAATGAGATAAATCAATGAAATATATTAAATGCAAGGACATATGACAGAGTTCTGTACTTATTCAAAATGATGTAACATTCCTACCGAATACATGTAACCGTTATGTCAGAACCAATGTTGAATTAATCAGATAACATAAAACAAATCGAATCTCTTATCATAATTTACTCATTATAACAATTATTATTTGTTCAGAAATAAAGCTCCAAATTATCTGATAAAAATGCACTCAATATTTCGATAATTTACTGATAAACGTAACATGCAATCTAAATAAGCGGCCACTAAACCTACTGGTACATCTTTGAAGTTCCGGTTTAACAGGTTCTCATGATTAATAATCTTTAGATTATTATTAAAAATATCTATTTATAAAACATTATAGAGACTTTTTAATTAAAAATCAAATCATTTATATTTAATTCATTTTTTATCAATGAAAATATGAGATTTTCTGAAATTAATTTATCAACTCTTGTAATAGTATAAGAGAGAAGCTAGAACACAATGGTGGCAATAAAAGATATGAAACATAAAGATAACTGTCAAGGGTTAAAGATAATAGGATATTAAATGCATTATAAGACAGATACTCTAAACATCATCACCATCCAATTAGTAAAAACTAATGCATCATAGCACTTAAAAAACATATACAGAGTGGGCTGTCAAAATAAGCATTAAAACATTAAATATTGAGAATTTTCAGTTGCAAAATAAGAAAATAAAAAATTATCACGGAGTTTAAAATCATCAGTTACTCAGTCATATTCCAATTATATCTATGTTGAAAGTATCAATTAAGAAAATTATATAAATTATATTTGTCATTTATTCAAATCACAAGAACAATACTAATATTGCTTTTTGTGGTGATACCATTGGATAAATTACAGTCTGATGGGGTTTAAATAACTGGTCATTCTCCACCTGATGTAATAAGGAGTTCATCATCAATAGTATTAATGTGGATATACCATATCATGAAGACACCAACTAAATCAATAATAAACAACAAAAAACACCCACATCACTAAATAATACTATATATCTACAAAAATATCTACAAATAATATGGCAACTTTTGCAAGAGGCTTTCAACAAAACAACAGCTTCAAGACAGGGGTCAGTATTATAAAGATAAAATATAGCATGGATATATGGCCAAGACATCAATTATTGGTGATTAGGGGACAGATCATTTCATGTTTGCTGATAGATCAACAGTGTTTCTTTGTTGTTTTATTGCTGATAATTAAAAACAAATATGCAAGGGTCAGTATGTATACAGCCAAGATATTCAGAGTGGCCACTAACACCCCAAAATGAAGGGTTTCCATTGTTCAGTAAAATTTTGTCAAAAATGGATGCTCCCATCAGCTCAAAATGCTTAATTGACAACGTGCTGACATTCTGATAAAATTGGGAGTTAATGGGACATCCAGATATGGAACTCAAAAAGTGATCACAAGCTAAGTTTTCAATTTTAAAGGTGTGTAAATAGAAACAAATTTTACAGTCTGATGTCCACGCCACATAGGATTTTGCCAAATCAATTTGACAAATTTTAATGGACTTAAGTATAAAATCATGCTGATTTTTACAAATTGTGCATCACTGCAAAAATCCCCTTACCACCAGGCATACTGGTTTTTGTGTACTCGGTGACAGCGTAGTATATCAGTTAACAAAGGAAACCCTTCACTGACAATCATCCCATTCAAACTAACAGAATATATACAGGCATTGTCATTGTCTTCAAACATCTTATGTGATTACTTATTTGTTTATGATGAGAGTACCAAAATAAACCCTTCACAACATCCTCTTTATATTCTTTATAGTCTATATCAGACTATATGGTCAGTAAATTACTACATTTTCTCATTATTGAAAGTTGACATTAATTTCACAATCAGACTCCTATAAATAACCATAAAAGCTTCATTTTAGATCATTAAGATCTAACCAACACCCAAAGCTTCTGTAATTGTAAGAGGGTGAGGTTTTTACAAATTGTCACCCAGGGTAACACACTATATATGGCTGGGGTTATTCATATGCATGATTTAAAGCAAAAGCTTCAGTTCTGAAATTCAGAATCTAGGTTTTAGTTTAGTCCAATTTGTTACCGAATTACATAAACTTTTAATCTTTAAAGTTTTTAATCTGTATTTCAACATAGACAAATCCTCATAAATCAGTACTTGAATGGCTATAAGTCAAAAAAATATGGCATTCCACAAATCAAAAGCTACTTTAGTATGTCAAACCCTCTAACTTTGTTGTTAAGACTCCACTGGTCTCAAGAGTCCTGACTTATGACATTTATGAGCATAAAGTCAAAAAGGTCTTTGAAATAATCTGAACCTTTGGACAATGTAAAGCATTGAAGTTTTGCAGACTAAAAGTACAATAGGCTCATATAAAAACAATGTGGAACTGAAGTAGGATTAAATCACAACTCAAACTGATTTTGGTTAATAATATTTACCAAATTCAGATTTCCATATATAAACTAGTTATGTCTCACAATTTGAAGAAATGCTAGAAGCAATACAGTTTTGCAATATCCAGCCCAATAATTTTAATGGTAATAAAATTTATACTATATGGGCCATCGTACCTGTGTACAAACTGTACAAGCTGGTCAGTATGTTAAAGAAAAGAACCCTGAGCATTCATTATGTTGTATATGCTTTGCTATTACAATATCACTGGC